TAATTTTTATTTTTTATAATTTTTTTATATTTTCCTCTCTAAAATCACAATGACATCATTAGGATTCAGATTTTACTTTTCCAAGTAAGTATGTGTGCAGTGCAATCATATTCTGATATATAATCAGACAATAGCCTAAGGTTATAGAAGACTTTATTATTGGCCAGAGGACAAGATTCAACAAATGCTCCAGTTGCATACATTCTAAGGACAGCTTTCAGATTTAGACTGATAGCCACATTTAAATCTATCAAACAGGAATGCATCATAGTAGTTTTATTTCTTCCCATTTCTAAAAAACTAAAAACGTAATTAAAAGCTTGAAAGAAAACGTGCATGCAGAAGGCAGCTGAAGTCCTCAGTAAGATAAAAAAAAAAAAAACAGTTTATCATAGCATAACACAATATCCACTCAACAGAAAAGTACTGGCATTAAAATCAGTTTACTGTACAGTCATGCATGATATGAATAATTATTTGATCCATATTTATACAGAAAGCAGGAAATCTGAAGAAACATTGTTTGAAGCTGTAGCTCAGACACCTAGCAAACTGGAATTGTAAGGAGAGGATATAAATGCACTCTGTGAGCCCTGTCTGCTTAGTTTATCACGGGAATAATTGACTGCTGGTGCTAGCAGGGTCTGAACTGTACAACAGATGCTGTGTGTCATATTAGACCGGCAATTAACTCAAACAGATACTTATTTGCTGATATAACTTCAGCCCTGCCCCCTAAGAACAGGAAGCCTCATATTTCACTGCTGGAAGTCATTTCCTTTCACTTGTTTATGATTTACAATCACTGTCTGATGGCACAAAACAAGTTATATTGAAACATACCCCTTGATTGATGGCTTGACTGTGTGGGCGTGGCAGAGTGGCAATTTCCATATCCTGCCATTTGGATACGTTTGGCTCTGAATAACAAAAGCATTGCTGGATATGGTTCAAACTGGATATGAATGATCTTTGAGACCAAGCAGTGCTGAACTGCGAGGGCCGCCAAATGCTGGTTTCCACTTTGGTTAAACTGTGGAACACAATACATTATTTTTATTGGCAATAGAATTGCAAGGTTGAGTAAAAAGAAAAGAAAAAAAGAAAAAACAAGGTTTTTGTTAGCTAATTTTATCCTTGCCATGGGGGAAACTACTTCATATTTTCTTAATGTATCTCAGGTTTCAGTTTTCTTTAATCAAATCCTGTCCAAACATCCCACAAGTCTAGGCCTTTCATTCAGCAAAGAGTTTTCCCTTTGTTTACTTCTAAGGATTCATCTATGTCTTGCATGATATTTATATCACTTGCAAACTCTATTTTATAATTTTTGTTTTGATATATTTAGATATAGCATATATCTACGAATTTGCATTGTTGTAATTAAAAGCTACTTTTAAATACCTTATTTTCTTAAAGAAAAAAGAAGCTGATCAGGATCTATTTATGTTTTATAATTTCACTATGTATAATTTTATGTTACCTTGTCTTCAAGCTGAATTGTCACAGTATGTCAGACTTCAAAATCAAATGAGAACCCATTCCAGCTTTAATCATTTTAATCAAGCTCAAAATGGGTCTTTCCATCAGATTGCAGTATTATGGTTTAAGACCGGACCTCTAGCTGTGACTTGTAAAGCAAGACTGCCGAAGCCATAGCCGAACCAAAATTAACATGACATACGTTTAGCTGTTGCTATCATATCGGTGATGTTAGAATCCATGATATCACCTTTAAACGAAGAACAGGAAGAGCATAAAAGTAGAAGATGTTGTTGTTTTTCATGGTGTCTGCTCGTGTTTATTTATTACCATCAGTGGCTAAAATCAATCATTGGTGGATGGGCACTAGGTGTCTTTGCCCCAACAACTCGAAATGTTGCTCTCCTCTCCCCCTGTACAGATCCAATGAGAGTAGTCCCAGAATTATTATGTGTAAAACTAAACCTGATTGTTGCATATTATTATATCCATCCATCCATCCATCCATCCATCCATCCATCCATCCATCCATCCATCCATCCATCCATCCATCCATCCATCCATCCATCCTTCCATCCATCCATCCATCCATCCATCCATCCATCCATCCATCCATCCATCCATCCATCCATCCATCCATCCATCCATCCATCCATCCATCCATCCATCCATCTTCTTCCACTTATCCACTTATTCTTCCACTTATGCCTGAGCTACTAAATCATTTTAGGTGGCTTTTTGGGAGTACAACAGTGAGGTTGCCCCCTTCTTACCAAGAAAAAAAAAAATACTATTTGACATGTAATGTAAAATCAAGATTATTATGTGTGAAATCTTTGCAACTTTATCTCCAACTGAAAAGCAGCAGTTTTAGACAAATTAGTTATAAAAATAAACAACATAAAAATTCTTCATATTCTGCCAGAATCTGATTAGGGCTTTTATATTCATTTGGGTTGGACAATAATTCAATATTAACATATAACACATTTTTATTAAATAAAAATTATTTGTCCAATATTTCAACAGTTTATGATTACAGCATTTTTCACTGACTGACATTCCAGGTTTTATGGAGTTTTAATGTATTGGTTTTTTAAATAAATATTTGGAAGAGTTTCATAAACATGGTAAAATAAACGATACAATTATACAGGCATCTGTTTTCGGTATTATTGTCAGTCTGAGGCTGTCATTTGGTTTATATTGATGTCAAAATTATATCGTAATGATCAAATTCAAGAAACATGTAATGATAATAAACATTTAACATGATAAACATATAAACATAACAAATTACCATATTAACCAACTGTAATGTACCCTGAGAGTGCCTGATACTGATAGCAGAAGCAGGGGAGTTAAAAATGAGTGTAAAATAGCATATTTCTCATTTAGTCTCCTGTTTCTCCCCCCAGCTTTAGATTATATATGGTGTAAAAAGAGTACAGCATTGAAATATGAACGGTTATCTTTTTATAATAATGTCACCTGTAAGAGTCATAACATTTGATTATTCATTAGTAGAGCTGAATGGCTGAGCAAGATGCCTAGGAGCATTTTATATATATATATATATATATATATATATATATATATACATTTCAGAACTGTCAATGCTTTGCTGTCAGTCTGTCCACTTTTGTTTTCACAGTTCAAGCTTTATCTCTACGGTTTCTGTCTTACCATCAAAGATGTAGATTATTTGTGTAGTTTGGTTTCTCCCAGTGAATGAAATAATTCTTATTTATTCATGTTAGGTTATACTCAGATTACTTTCATATTATTGCTTTGATATTCTTAAACATAAACCTTTCAAAAAGCAAATTAGTAGTACTCAGTCGAATAACACATTTTACAGCCATGTGCCATTATAGTGGAAGCTGTCCTAGGCTTTGGTGCAAACAGTCTGGCATGCCTTCTTTCTTTCAACCCAGTCATTAGCTTAAATTAACACCCGCCCTCATGGCCCATAAACCCAGCAAGCCCTTAGAGACTTCCTGTTTCTCCTGGCTAACTTTTGTGAGCCTGCTCAGAATGTGCACAGGGAATTCTGACCTCAAATGTAGACTCCTTGAGATTTAAAATCAAGATAGTGAATTCAGTAATATCAGTTTTAAACCAATGCTTTTATCAGTTGACTCGGATTTTTATTATATAAATTGCTTCAATTTGGTCTCTGGGTTTTATTTGTGGAAAGATTCTTAATTTATTATTTACAATATAAAAAAAACCCAACAAAAACAGCTGGAGTGAGTGGATATAAATGTAGCATAGTACCATTTAAGTTCCAACTTGGGATTTTTATGTACAGCTTTGGTTTGAGTTTCATTTTTTCCTGTTTTTGAAGAAACTTCTGTTTTTCACTGAAGTCAGTATACAAGCAAATATGTAACATTTCAAATATTTTATGCTGACTTAGTTCACGGCCTGTGAACTCTGACATTGCCTGATAGTGGAAAGTTTAGGGATCAGGTCATTGCTATTTTGAATGAAACCAAGCAGGATCGTTTTATTACAGTGAAAATAAAGATGTAGATGGATTGTTTCTTTCTGCACCCAGTTATAAACACTCACGCTTTTCTATAGGTGAACAAAAACCAAATGTGTTAACATCTGCAGTGAGTTATTTTACTGGTGCTTCTCATTGTAACAGTCACTATAAAATCGGATCCACTTACTGTCACTTTAACACATGCACAGCAGCACTGAGTTTATTCGGCATATGATGATCAGCTTATCAGAGGCATCTAAGAAATTGCACATTTGAATAATACAAATAACTCCACAGACTTTCAGACGCCACAATTTACAATTTGCTTTAGGTTCCAGTCATTGTTTTCTTCTTGTGCAAAAACAAACAAACCACAAACTTAGTTTAAAGCCATTAGAACTGCAGTGAGTCATTCTCTACAAATGATTATAGCAAAATCTTAAAATCCATCTACTCCTATCAGTTTTCATCTATACTTATTTAATCCAGTCTTTTTAAGGTATTCTTTTCTATTTTTAAGCAGAGTTGCATCGTGTTAAGAGAATATTGCAGGAGGACTTACAAGGTATGAGGTTAATGTGATCTCTAGTTTCTGAATCAGTTGTTTGGAAGGGATGTTTCTAAACAGGGTCGTTTGGAAGATGATTATTAAGTTCAAACCGTGGATTTCAGTCCACTTGAATCCAGTGTCCAGAGGATCTTATAAGCATAAAAATTAGGTTGATAAAATAACCCATTGACTCTAATATAGATTATGACTGGATGACAAGGAAGATGGCCTACAGAACATGTTTTTTTTTTTTTTTTATAACATTTTGTTATTTTCCTAATAAAGCAAACTTGAAGCACTCTGTAAGTTTCACCTTTATTTTAATAAGGTGCTTTTGAGAAAAGCATGATATAACCTGATGGACATATAACAAATGTCTGAAGGACTAAATTTTGGAGTTTTAAAGTTATGTATTCTGTGTCAGTAAAAAAGTCACATACTCCTTTAGGGTAATCTATTTAATCTGCTTTGCAGGTGATTCTCATGTTAACAAAGTTCTATGACTTCAACGCTGGCAGAGTAACGGAGAGTTCACTGTGGAGGTAAGCTCTTCTGTCTACTTTCAGGTTTACACAGCAGAACTAACTAATTTACTTGTGCCATTTGTAATAAATTACAATGGATTTTGCAATACAAGGACATTTTTGTGTAAAATGTTTGCATTTTGCTTAACATTTATTTGCTGTCATAAATCTCTAAATGGTTTTAATCTGTATGTCTTTTGATTGCAAAAAAAATTGTGAGAAATGCAGTATGTGTTTTGAAAACATGTGAACCTCTAACACTTTAATGGAATGTAGCCACTAATTGCATTCTATTTTATTAAAGTTTAAATTGATAGATTTTTTTTCTTACTCTTGTACCCCTGAAAATGTCTATCCAAGTCAGAAGTGACCTAGATTGTAATTTAATCTCGGAATAAATGCTGCTGCTCTGTAAGGACCAAACAGGCTCGTTAGGGAACATCAATGACGAGACAATTTCATAAGGACCAATGGAGAGACGAGGCAATTCAGACAAAATGCTTTGTTGATTAAGCTGAAAACAATAACCCAATAGTATTTAGAGTTGAGCAATCCATTCTTCAAAGGTATGGTAATACATTAGAAAATCAAACATTCCAAGATGTATTAAATCACGTGAAAACTGTTACTTGAGCATTCCACTGCATCATGCTCTGAAGGTCTTCTGCTGGAATTGCTCAGTCCAATTGACAACTTTAGGTATAACTTAAAAGTATATTTTCAATGTCTCTCCTGACGGATTTCTGAGCTTTGTAACTCTGATCAAATACATCGGCTAAAACTTCTGTCTGTGCTTGTGTTGGAGGCCTGCCCTGAAGGACCTGCAGCTGTAACTGCAATATAAATTTTGACACACTGGGGTATCATAACTAATGCATGAAACACTTCAAAATTTGTTGATCCACAGAAAAATATACTGAAGGTTTTGTAGTTGTAGAGCAAAATGAAAACAAAGCTTGAAGCCTTATGAATAATTTGCAAAGCATTGTAGATTTTAGGGGACATCGACAATTTTATATGTAGTGTCTTATTTTGAGAGTAATTTGATCAGGTTACTAACTGATCTAGAGGTTGAGGGCAGTGCACTCATAACACAATAAGGACAGGTAAGGAGATAGGTATGATAGGACAGTGGCAAAAAATACAAAAGAATTCTATAAGAAAACACAATTTAGAATTAAATTAAACTAAATTTTATGAAGCGAAAAATTGTGTTGTGGTTGATTTTTGTTTTGTTTTGATTTGTTGATTTGTTCTGAATGTATTTTGTTAACCTATGTTCAAATCTGTCAAATGTGGGACTATATTTACATACCAGCATTAGGAAGTAATTGCTGCATTTATTAAATGCTTAACAAACAAAAATATTATATGTACAAATCATAGAGAATAATCCTGTAAGATAGCCTACAGAATATATGCAGCTTGTCTCAGAAGAAAATCCCCTGCAATAAATGATTTATAGGTTTAACATTACATAAATAAAAACATTCATATTTTGCTTGTAAGTAAATTTGCTCTTTGATTCTTGAAGTGATTTACAAAGCAAAATGTATTGCAATAATACCTTAATATCAGCTTTTCCCCCATGCATGACACATAGGATATTCTAGTTCATGCTGAGAAGTAAACAAAGTCCTGCTTCGTTCAGCAAATTGCCCTCAGGATGTTTGTTGTTGTAATTTTCTGCTTCCCTAAAGAACTAATGATCCCATCAGCATCATAACTATTAGAAGCGCCGTTCTCGCCTAGCCACCACTCAAACCCTATTTACTTTGACCTGTAATTCAATTTTAGGTCAACTGATTATGGGACCACGTATGAAAAACTTAATGAGAAAGTCGGGACCAAGAGCATATTGAGCTACCTGTATGTGAGTCCAAACAACAAAAGAAAGGTGAGTTACTGTGTGTTTTACAGTGTGCTACAGCAAAATCCTGAAAAAAACCAAATGCCTTTACAAGAAGTCCCTTTTGCACATCACAGTGTTAATACACGACCAGGCTCTATGCATCTATCTAAGCAGTAGAATAAACAGGGACACATATTCCCTGTGGAAAAAAATGTTGTATAATGGGCTGCTGAATTACCCAACTTCTTTCCTGTCTCAGATCATGTTACTAACTGACCCAGAGGTTGAGAGCAGTCTGCTCATTAGCCTTGACGAGGGGGCGTCCTATCAGAAATACAGCTTAGGCTTTGATATCCTCAGCCTGCTATTCCACCCAGAGCAAGAGGACTGGATCCTGGCTTACAGCCATGACCAAAAGGTAATGTGTAGGTGTCTAATAACATTTGGCATGAATGAACCAGAACCGAATCTGAAAATGTGTAAGAAAAACATCCTTGTGAAAAACACACAGGGGAATACTGAAGAGATTGGGCCGCTTATGTATTACTCTGAGAGATATAGCCTCGTTTTAGTTCTCTATTTCAACATGGTAACTACAAGGTGACAGAAAAAAACAACATATTTAAACTCTGGGAACTTATCTGCACTTTACATTAGATGCAGGTAGAGAAAAAAATTGAATTATTTTTTTTTTATTTATTGGGATCATATGTGACAGACATACACAAAATAATACATTCTTGTTAAAGGGAAGAAAAATGCCACTTAGAGTCAGTAAGTAATTAGACTGGGAGTAGACAACAGTGCACAAGATGCTAATGATCAAATAATGTCATGGATGCTCAAAAAGGTGCCACTTAACAATTATACACTAATATGAACTGGTCTTTCACATACAATTACACCAGTAATATACATTTTTATTGTATTGCAGGATTTAAAAGAATATGGATTTGTTTGCAAGGTACTCTGTCAGCTCCTAGAACAAAGCTGCAGTTGCAAAAACAGCAGACTAACTCCATCCTAAAACAAGCCATAAGGTCTTTGATGTTCTGGACAGCATGAGAGAAAGTTAACAAGTAAAACATCTCTGAAAAAAGAAATCCTGAAACCACACACATATCTTCCATTGCACACAGCCTCCATTATTGTGTGAAAGAACCCCTGCTGTCTGCTCCACTCAGCAGCAGGGACATCAAACTCTGTCCTCCTCAGCTTGCTATCACAGAACTACTTGATTGTCAGGGAGAGGAACAGACAAGGTCTGAGAAATGAGATAAATGGCGAAGTAGGGAAGATGAAAAGCCTTGCAGAGAGTGATCAGTGGGTCAAAATGAAGACACTTAGGAGAAGTTTGCCTTCAGGCTATTCTTTATGTCTTTGTAAAGCTGTATTTTATTGTTTTCTTTCTCTTCTTCCTGCCAAAAAGGAACTAAATGAACGTCAGCTCGGTTTCATTTCATATTTATTGATCGTCTGTCATGTTGTCTCAAAGTTGCGAGTTCTGAGGTGGGTAGGAATGAAGCGCCTGATCCCTCTAAAGCTGAGAGCTCACGATGCGTGCTGCTCAATCACTGAGGCAAGATGAAAGATCTTTAATGTTCTTGAGCACCAATAAGGTTGTTATGTGAAAACAAACTGCAATGTCAGTTAACTGAGAGATTCTGAAGAGTCTTTTAGATTGTAGTTCGCTCACAAGCAATGTGAACAAGTCTTGTATCTAGCAGTAAGAATAAATAATCTCTATTATCTTTTTAGCTTTTTCTCTGAAAGCCTGGCATTGAAACATAACTTAACTTTTACTGGAACTAAAAGTTTTTCTTCTGTTCAAAAAACACATAATTTTAATCTTAATGCATTTTGGCATATATCCAATTCAGATGTTCTGATACTGTATTTCATGTCATTTCATTGTCTAACGCTCTCTGATTTTTTTTTTTCAGCTCTACGTCTCTGTTGAGTTTGGAAGGAAATGGCAGCTTGTTCACAACAACGTTGTTCCCAACAGATTCTATTGGTGAGTTAATCTGTTGTCGCCTAAATGTAAAACAAAGCAGTTTTTTTTTTGGAAACTGTCATTGAAATAGTTAGTATTTCTAGCATTCCTTGCAAATTTTAGTTGCAGGAAAACAATATGGTCAACATGTTTTCAGCCAAATAAAGTCTTAAATTAGCCTTATTTAGTTATATAAATACATCTTTCACCCTATTAACTTGTTTACTTTCATACTAAAGCAATGGGAATTAAAATTTACTAATAAATAATTTAGGTGTCATTATTTTATTATTTATGTTTTCTCATAAAGATGAATATTTCATGAGCACAAAGCAGACTTTACATGAAATATTGTTTACATATTGTTGCAATATATCAACTGCATGCAACATATCAAATCATATCAAAACATAAAATGGTTTCTTTTGTTTTAAATCTCTATAAAAGTATATTGTTTTAAATTGTGACTGGTAATGCAGCTGCAGGTTTTTAAAAGTAATTTCTGAAGATTTTAATGTTATGCTTACAGTAAGAGTGGCCTAAAATATTTGGCAGGCTTATTAGTGGGGTTTATCGTTACTGGCTATACAGATTTTTTTATAATGTTCTGTTTCACATATTTTAAAGACAAAAATCTAAGGATTACAAAATTAAATTTGGCTCTCAACTCAAGGGAATCCAACAGATGAGTTTTCAGTGTCTGAGATGCAAAACAAAGCAAACAACTAGAAGTGACCTTAGATTGAGGAAAACAACTGAGCTGAATCCTTGAATATTATGGAATAGAATAGAATAAAATAAAATAAAAGGGAAACTCCTTGTCTAGACACAACTAAGTAATCAAGAGCCAAATAAACACATACAACAGCACATATTTAAAAAAAATTATAGTAGTAAGAATAATAATCACAATTGCTTAAACAAGGCAAGAACATAAAGCAGACAAACTAAACAGTAATGTTTAAGTAGGATCCTAAACTGCAGTCATAGCAAAAGTAATATACCAGCATGGTTTTCTTGAATTTTTAACTCCAAAGGTACATTACCTGTAAAATAAAATGAACACCCCAGAAAAAAAAAAAACAAACAAAGGGGGTCCAATTATTTTTCTTTTACCTTACTTTTGTGTGCAAATGGAAAATTGTATGTGTGCAAAATGGGGCCTAATACAGAAATCTGTGTGAGAGCAAAAAAAAAAAAAAAAACACAAGGCAATTTATTCACTAAATACTTGCACTGTCTATCCACTTGTTGCTTGTGCTGCCCCCTGACTGGGTGCAGCTCAGGGTATCCTGAATGGGAAGTCATGCTCCCATATCAAAACACATCTCTCATCATCTATACAATTTATTATGACCTCAATTAAATGAGATAATTCAAACACACATAAGAAACAAAAATTATTGTTACTACCTCATCCAATAATCAAACACGAACAACAAGTACCCTGCTACTAAAACATGCTGAAACACTGGCACACACTTGTTACAAGACACTAGTGGTGTTACTTATTGGAGAATGCTTTAGCATTGTGGGGCTTTATTTAAGAGTGCAGGCTCCTGTTCACTGATAGAATTGGATGAAGTATTTGACAGAAAGTCCATTAAAAGAGATGGAGCTGTGAGGCAATTACAAAGTGCTGAGGGAAGCAGGATAGGAGCCTTTTATATTATAGTTCAGACACAGTATGGAATATAAGAGAAACCCATCTTCTGTCACAACAGTTGCTATTAATACAACAAGTGGTCACTTCCGCTGCTCGGTGCTTAACGGCTGCAGCGAAGACTCTGTAGTTCAAGGGGAATGAAATGGCTAAGTAAATCTCACAAAAAAGAGCAGTGCAGGTTAAATGTCCTTCAAGTCACTGTCTTTACATCAGCCTGTTGTATTATAGGTCCTAAGGGAACAGTAAAGAGCGCCGCTGTCTTCTGTAATTCATAACCATGAAAAGAATCTTTGTTTTGTCATAATTTCCACCCTGCTTCACCATTTTACGAGTTTCTTACAACAAAAACAAAGATGATGAAGTGTTTTGCCCTGCTGACATTTTCACAATTTCAGTTATAAAATAGACATTCTGCACAGAGGAGGTTATTACAAGCTGATGATCAGAACTTCCACTGGATAAATTAGGTACTTGAAAGTCAGAAGAATTTCAGTCTCTTGCACATACTGTATTTTATCCTGCATATTTCTCTTATGCTGGTTGAGTTTACATCTACAGACAAACTCACTTTTCGAGGAGACTACTGATTTGATAATGTGTATTTAATAATTGCACATTTGTCCTTTTGAGAATTAAGAGTGTTTACAGTTTAATGTAAACTGCCTCTTCTGGGCGACTTAATTAAATTATAAATAAATACACACATCAGTATTCTGGTCCACCCTACAGTTGCTTCTGACAAGGGAGTCCATGCTGTTATGTGATCCACTGCAGATGGCAGCCCTTGCCTGCCATAAACTGTTGGTGCTTACACTGCTGACATCAGGCAGTAATTCACAATTTACTCTGATATTATTTGTTTAACTTGTAGCTAATTTGACAACATCCTCGCCCCATTAAAATATGTAGATGGGCCATAGCCCCATTTCATGAGGCTCTTTTGTTTGTCCAGAAAACCAGACACATGCTGCTTCTGCTCTGGGTTATCAATAGAACTCATTCTAAGCAGGAACTCGTAATTTAATATTACTGTTATGTTAAGTTTGATAACTTTAATAATATTAATAATGATAAAACAGCATTGTGAAAAATTATGGAAGCCTGTACAACATTTTCAATTTACAAGCACAACGTTCCATTTATTTAGTCTGTTTATCTGGTACACCAAGATTTACTACCTAGTTGTCAAGTTGAGGATAACAGTAATTACTTTTACAATGAAACATCTGAAGGCTGTTGCCATGTTTGTTTTCATCTCCATTTACTTTGATACCCCTGAATAAAATTCACAACTAACACTCCAGATAACAGCAAACCAGTGGTCTCTAAATCCTGTCCTTAAGGACTGGTGTCCTGCATCTTTTAGATGCATCCCTGCTTCAATGCAACTAGTTCTAATATTAGCTTAGTAGCAGAGCTCTGTAGAGCTTTGCTGCTGATTGAGAACGAGTATTGTTATTTAGTTCAAGTGCGTAGGGAAGCGGCTCAAAAGTTACAGGACACAACCCTAAAGGATTTGAGTTTGAGTCTGCTGCCTAACACATCATCCCCATTGCGACACATGGCGGTGGCTGCTTCATGCTTTTTGGATGCTGTCTTGAGCAAGAACAGAGAAGCTGGTCAGAATTAATGAGATGATGGATAAATCTAAAAACAAAAGAAGAAAACCTGTTAGAGGCTGCTAGCATTGAGACTAAAACAGGGGTATGTCTTCCTGATGTGACTATACACCTAAGCCTACAGAGGTACAATATATGGGCTGAGATGTTAGTATATTTACCTATTAACCTGATGTCGAGAATTAAAAAAACAAAAACAGTTTCATATGTGTACCAGGACTTTCAAAAATCTCCGTCCAGTCTGATAAACCTGGAGTATTTTACAAAGTAGAATAAGCCTTAAGCCTCTAGATGTAGGAAGCAGACAGAGACATACCCCAAAATACTATAAGGTGCAATTAAAGCAAAAGTTTGTTCTACAAAATAGCCACTAAAGGGCCTGAATACAAATTAACAACACACTTTCATTATTTCTTTTTTATTTCATAAACAATAAGTAAACCAGGAAAAAATGTCCTTTAGCAGCACCAGTTTTTGTAGTGACATTAAAATAATTCTATGAAAAGTATTATAAAATGGGATTAGTCTGCTGTAATACTATTAAAACACAGTGCTTTCACATCATATTAATTTATAATAATAAATCAAATGACTCTGTCTGTCTTTTTCAATGTTTTAGGTCCAGGCTGGGTTTGGACAAAGACCAAGGGATGATTCACCTTGAGATCACTGTCGCAGTTGGACGTGAGTCAGAAACAGCAGAAATCTCACCTGAAGTAATTTCAGGAGCGAAGCCCAAACAACATTTCACTGGTTTAATCAAAGAGGAGAGGGGATGATGGAATAGATGGTTCAGAAGGTCCGGCTGCACCAAGGGGAGTGTCATGATTATTGGCAGGAAAAAACAATGCTGGTAGTAAGGGTTTGGTCTGAGTTAGAAATGACTGGGCTAACGTATTACTCCTTGAGTTGGAGCGTCAAGAGCATGAATGGCCTTTGTTAGAAATATTAAATGGAATGGGAATTGGGAATTAGACATGAGAATATAATCAGTTCACTTGCAATTTTGTAAAACATTGAAATAACAGGTTTGACTGATTGGGTTCATCTGACTGGAGAATTAATTTAGTCTATTTGGTTCTAAAAACTTCAGCTGAGAGTATGGTTGTCTAAATGGCAAAAAATTAAGTTCTGTCAATAGTTGTTGTAAAAAGTTTTAAATAGGTGGGATTAAATGGGTACATAAAAATAATAAGGAAGTAAAGAGGAACACTGTGAAACAGAAGGCAAGGAAATCATTGGGAAGAGCGAGAAGTGAGATGAGAGGGATGAAAAAATTGTGAAAGTGGATGAAGCAGATGAGGTGGATAAAAGGTAAATGATAGTGAGGGAAAATAAGTAGGGATTACATATAAACGGATCAGTGGGAGATAGACTGGAGTTTAGAGCACAGTAAGACGTGTGATGCATCAGTGAGCTAGCTTAATAGCAGCCTACAAAGGGAGTAGAGGTTTTATTAAAATGTGGCCTTTCTTTCTAAAGCTAAACTCACACAATAACTTTGCTGCTAATTGGCTGTTTGCATTGCTCTTGATTTTATTTTGGAGATTGAGAGGCTTTTCAACCACACAGCTGAATTATTGTATGATTTAAGATCTGAAAAGGCGTCTTTTTTCACATAGAACACAAGATGATGTGCATTATCGTTCATATGGATATGGACAATGATGTCTCATTTAAGAAATATGACACCTATGCTTTTTGTGTCACTTAGTGCCATGGCTATAAATGACGCAAAACATTTATTTTAGAATATAGGGAGTTGTTCCTGCATTATTGCATTTTTGGCTATATTTTCTTGCTTATCAACAGGGTCACAGTACATAACTTGCAAACTTCAGAACTGCTCCGATGGAAACAAGGGCAAGCCTTTCCCAGGATTTATAATCCCAAACTCCCTGGTGGTGCAGGATGAGTACGTTTTCATCCAGGTGGGTTTTTACTGCAAGGTCTGGCTTCATTAAAAGACAATTAAATGCTGTGAAATCAGTGCGTTCAGCTGCATCTTAATGTACAGACTTGTTTTTCATTAACTAAAAGGAACCATTATGCTGGCAAGGGAAGGCACGAAAATAAAACCACTGCTTTTTATTGCTACAACTGCACTTTACCGCAACTTACAACATCACAATTAGAGGATAATGCTGGGTTTTTATGGTGGGATTAATCTTATTTTATAGGTAAGCTTTCAGCGATTACTGTAATGCAATGTTTATCTTTACTACCTAAAACATTTTGGCTGTGTTTCTCTTGAAGGTATCAGTCAGTGGCCAGGCTGTCCATTATGTGTCATATAAAAGAAAAGCATTTTACCCAATGAAGCTTCCTAAATACACGGTCCCTAAGGTAAGATCATAGCTGTGTTTTGATTGGTATAACATTTCCTACAATTCTTTGCATGAACATTTTCTGGAAATGTATTTAGCTATCCACTGACATGACTAGATTTACAATCACATTTTCACTAGTATGTGTATCAACAGATGTTAACTTACAGTTAACAGGAATAATGCAGTATAATGTTGAACGCTAAAGGAATTATCCTTTTTTGCTTACGCCAAGCGGCCCTATATATACCAAGTAACATAAACAGAGCAGTGTGGGTCATTTACTTGAGACTCAGGGTCTAAATAATTATACAGCCTCAGTGCCTTCATAGTTGTTTTGGTAGATTTATAAAAGTGATGTGGGTGGCAACAGGTGTTGCTCCTCAAAAAAAACAAGACAGAATATAACTAAAAATATCTTACAATTTAAAAAGAAAAACAAAAGTTAACTTAATCTGCTGTTACAGCCTTCAAAAAATGATCAAAAGTGGTCAACAAATATCTTTTTACAAGATATTTACAAGGACCCCCTGTCCTTAAACCAAACATTTGTTCCTGACGTGTGTTCCTAATCTTCTAAATTAATTGGCGGGTCTAAAATTTACGAAATTGATCACAACAATTAAAAAAAACAAAAATGATGGATCTTGGTTTCAAACTAATTTAAATATATTCTGTCTACAAAATAAAACTAAACATAAATTTAAAAGGAGCTATGATTTACAAAATGCGTACATAAATGGCTAGACCATCCATTCAGTTATATAAATTATGAAAATTTTCTATAGAAGTAGAAATAATGCCTAACTTAAACCTAATATAAATTTCAGTAAAATAAAATGTTTTACCCAGTGTTCATTTTTTAGTGCATAACCCTAATGGCACCAGAATCCTGATGAATGATTACAGAACTAACACATTTTTGCTCCCCCTGTGTGACCAATACATGCACATTGCTATGCAGATTCACATTTTTCTGTCTTTTCAGTTGCATAAAAATAGTGTTACCCATTAAAAAAAGAGCAAAAACATTCGCTCATTAAGTCCTTATATTTAGGACCTGCAGATAATCAGCACGGACGAAAACCAGGTGCTGGCAGCTATTCAGGACTGGCACCAGAATGATTCGTACAACCTCTACATGTCTGACTACAGAGGGCTGTTCTTCACACTAATGCTGGAGGATGTTGTGAGCACCGGTGGTCCAGAGGACAATGTCATGATTGATCTCTATGAGGTAAGCAGCCACAGTGCTGTGAGGGTGCTGCTGTTTTCTGACTGTGGGGTTTTATTTCACAGATTTTAATTTGAAAACTTTAAAATGATTTTTAGTGTAAAGTCAGTGTACACAGAGTGTACACAGAGACCATTATTCTGCCAATTCTTGGACATTCAAGACAGTGCTGCAGCACAGGATTGTGGGGTGTCTAATTGATGCAGAGAAGCAACATCAGGGCTTAAGGGCAGGGAGGTATATAAGCAAGAGCTGTTGGTAGAACTGTTGCCTTTCAGCAAGAATGCCTAAGTTTTTCTGCATGGAGTTTGCACTTCCTCCCCCTAAAAGCTTGAGTTCTCTCCAGGTTCTCCAGCTTCTTCCCACAGTGCAAAAGCATGTCAATTAGATGAATTGTTCTCTAAATTCCTCTTAGGAATAAGTTTGTGTTTCTGCATGTTTTTTTTTTGTTCCTGTGTTCTTCTATATTGTGACGGATCAGTGACCTGTCTAGTCCACCCCACCTCTTGTCCTATTACAGCAAGAACAACAGCTCCTGCTTGTGTGTGTTTTTGAAGGTGGATATGCATTTGTGTGTGTGAAAAATACCAAATATCTTCCCAGCATTACAATTTTATTAAAGCTACAATGGAATATTCAAGGTCAGAGATTTTTATTTAAAAAGACTTTCTTTATGTAATACTCTTTGCAAAAGCCTGTGTTTATGTTCTTATGTTGCCAAGAAGTTTTGAGGTATAATTTTATATATATTTGATATACAGTGAGTTGTTTATTGTTTCTAATGATAAGATTAAGTAAGAATGCAAGCTGAAAACACAATGGAAATTTAACTTGAAGTTCTAAAAGCAATTTTATGCATCAAAAAGCAGATCTTCCTTTTTGTTTTGTTTTTCAACATCTGCTCTGATTGTCTCTATTTAATGGAACAGATGATGTTTTTAACCAGTCTACAGCATCAGTTTGTTTTTCTCCCATTGCCGTTATTGGATTTTGCAAGTGACTGTATCATTGTTATTGAGCTTCCATATTTAATTAAAGTATTGTTTTTGAGGTTCCATGACTGGTTATGCTAGTAGGTTCTATTCATGGTGAAACACTTCATCAAATTGTACAGAATGTTTTAAGTGAGGTTCAATTGAATAGGCACAGCAATATATTATTTGCAGTAGATACATTTAATTTATATTTTGTATAAAAAACAAATAAGTTGATCCTGGAAGCCGAAGTTACCAGCTAGCCATAGAGAGGTCAAGACCAAATGATTATTCACACAAAAATCTAACTTAGGAGGCAGTGCAAAACCAATTATCTCCTCTGTGGAAAATGTACTTAAAATTAAATAACTTAAACTTTTCTGATCAGACTACCTGTCTTATAGAAGAATCAGCTTCTGCTAAGAGCTGAATTATTAAAGTTTCTAAGAGATTCCTTGGCAACTGATTGATTTTTAGAATGTAAATTGTCTTCTACATAGTTACTGTGAGAGGGGGATATTTTATACATAATTAGTGAACCACCTCTTGCCTATTCTTTACATGTAGTGATTTATGATCATGTAAATAACCACCCAGTGGACTTTTGAGCGTGGCATATTTTTTCTGAACATATGGTTTGCATAAAACTTTGTTTTATTGGCAGGTAGAATTAAACAAGTTGGGTTTTAAAGTGAATTAGAATGTCCCCTCAACAAATTTACTAACTGCTTTTAAACTTTGATCAGGATCTGAATGAATTAGTCTTTAATATCAGCTTTAAACTATGACCTGTGTTGACAGATCTTCTTGAAACTTCCACATGAAAGCATCATTGCACATTTCCCTCATCTTCACCCAGCAGTGAAAGTATCATGTTGTTGTAAACACACCTCAGATATGTCCCAGTTGGAGAGATGACCGTGCCACACAGTTGTGATTAGGATTTTTTTCCCCCTTTCTTTTGGTGCGGGGTAACAAAGATCTGGCAAACACTAAAGGAAATGTGAGCTCAATTGATGTTTGTTGTACATTAAGTCTGCATCACTGCACACAAGCACAAAGAAGAAGACATCCCAAGGCTCTGCCATATGTTGTTTGGATTTTACACAGCCATACAGATGGTCTAAAATAGTGCTCCATGTCAAAAAAAAAAAATCACTCAAATATCTCTCTCTCTTGCAAAACGAGGCCCTTAGCTTTACTTAAGTTTGAATATTTTTTTTTTCATACATTTCTTTGTGTTATTTTTCTCCATTCTGCCTCATGCCTCTCATACATGCAGGTTGCTGGGATTAAAGGAGTGTTCCTGTCAAACAAAGTTGTTGAGAACCAAGTAAAAACTTATATCACATACAACAAGGGCAGAGACTGGCGTCTTCTTCAGGCTCCAACCACTGATCTCCAGGGAAACAAGGTCTATTGTGAGCAAGTAAGTGGGCCACTGACAGGAGAAACTGTTATTTGGATTTTCATTATCTGCTCTCAACAGCACCACACTGAATCAAGCTAGCTTTAGAAATTGCGGAAGAAAATGAGTGTGTAATATTATTCATAATATCTTTGTTCTTATGTTTCAAAATGTATCTTTTTTTCCTAAATCCAAGTATTAATAAATGTGAGCACTGCAGGCAGAGTCCCAAATCCAATCTGATAGAGCCTGTGTAGGAAGCTGAAGATTGATGGCAAGGAGGGCTTCCAACCTCAAAGATTTGGGCCTCATCAATGAAGACATTCATTTTCAAAGTTTTAGTTGTTAATAAAAAAGATTTTGAATATACTTTTATACAAAAAATATTTTCAGAATTGTTACTTCTTTATAGGAATTTACTCATTGAAATGCCTGTCTCATCCCACTAGGGTCAAACATCTTGGCAAAAAGCAATTTTTAATCTATATCTTCCAGGTGTGTAACTTAGCAACTTTAGATATAGTTAATTTGCTTAACTTTACCTTACATCCTATCTAATTCATAATGATTGAAACAAATTTTAAAGATTTACTGAGCATCACTTTGATTGTATTTATTTCAAAATTATGCCTTTTAATCATGTTTGTAGGTAGGTTTGCACAATAAAAAATATCTATATATATCATGACAGACACCTGATCAATATCAATAGAAAATATGTCCTATAGATTTTTCTCTTATTTCAGCGGACTCTGATATTGGCAGAGGAATATGGAATTCATTGGATTGGGTTGGATTTGGATTGATTTTTATATGTATGACATCAATTTCAAGGTTTTGTTTAAAAGGGTTAGGTTTACGATTTGTTTTGCCGTATCCTTATTTTTAATAGGTAAAACGAAAGACTAATCCATATTTATCAATAAGGTTTATAGTGTGCTATTTTTTGTTAGCCATCTTGAATATCCCTATCAGCAGCTGTCTTTAAAATCCATGTAAAAGTATAAATTTTAACTTTCATTTAACTTATGCTGCCTTAACATTTTTATTTTTTATTTTTTTTTTTTAAGAAAACTGTGCTTGTTAAGATGTATATTTTTTATGTTGAAAAAAGAGAAAATAAGGTAAAGGACAAGCTGGCAGCCATTAATCATCTGCTCCTCTCAAAGTTTTGTCTCCTGCCATCAGGGAGGAGGAATACTTTTCCTAACCAGGGCAACTGAAATGGATATGAAACCCAATAGGTTTCTTAACAAGTTATATGTTTTATCGCTTTTCTTCAGTTAATAAATTTTCAATAAGGAGATGCAAGAGGTGTATGTTTTTAAAGTTTTATGTAAAATATTTCTTAAGGTAAGATGTTTTCATCACCGTGTTTGCTTTATTCAATGTTCTTTTTTAGTTTTAGTCTCTTTGGGGAACCAAAGCATCTTCAGTTGGCTTTAGTGTAAATCTTTGTCAAGGTGATAGTATTGTAACCTGACTCCGCCAGATGGATTTGCTCCGCATATCTATCTGGAAACCTTCCGTTGCAGTAATTTTGGGAAGGGGCGAAAATACTGGTTAGCTGATTGGCCTATGTTGGTGATAGACAGGCCAAATAAACCAATCAGATCAACAAAGCGTATGATATATTTAATAACAGACCGACGACGAAAACACAACCACAAGCAAGGCTACTCTTGCCGAAACCAGTCGGGAGAAGAGCAAAAACATATTTTCCTCTGAGAAAAGCCTCCAGAGCAGTGTTTTGCTCTTCTTTCAGTGAAGAAATACTCTGTAATTCCAATAAAACTTGCTCGATAGCCACGCTAACGCTAGTTCTATTGGCTGAAACCGCCATGTTCTTTGGACTGAACTGTCGCGCTTCTCGTTGCATCACACCTCAACCCGCCTCAAAGCCAACGCTGACTGGACGTTCGTTTGGTGAACGGCTCCAAGTTTTCTTCAACGGAGAGTCTCCAGACTGATTAGCGAGTGAAATCTTGAAATTGGAGATCAGGATGGTCTCACGAGGCTAATAGTATTGTGGGAGTACTTGACCCCCTACCGACTTCTTCAGCTTATGCCTCTTGCCACAGGACCTAGATAGATCCAACAAGACATTTACAAATATGATGTACAAATATGGGACAAATGTTTTCCATATCAATCAGGCACTATATTAAATTAATGCCAACTAAGTCCATGCTTGGTTGCCACAACCGCCATCAAGCAATGTAACATCTAGTAATAAATCTCTCACATCACTTTTGATTTTATTTCATAATTCTTTGCAGAATTATTTAATCATGCCAGGCTGCAGTGAGTTAGCATTAACAGCTTGTTTAGTGTCTGTTTTGACATTTCCATTAGCTCTACGTTTAGATGTTTGTTATTTCATTCCAAAGCTTTAACTTTTATTTTGTTAAAACTATGTTATGTTAGGATTATGCTGCTAGTGGTCCTAATTAACTTTATTTTATCAGGATGAGCACTGATAATTTAAAATTCTCCCTTAGGAGTATCTGTTGGAGTGCAACTTCATGGCTTTATTAGGCCTCATCAAATAGAGTTTCAAAAGTAAACTCAGACAATAAATTAGTGTAGGTATTTTTTTCCGAAACGCTGGTTATTTTTAGGTAGATGTAATGGGCCTTAGACAAAAGTCTAAATTTAATCTCATCAGTGCTTAGAATATTATCCCGAAAACTAGTCCATTGATGCCATGTTTGCAATGCCTCTTTCTTATTAAATCAACAACTACATCAAGAAAGAGAAATTTAATTTGTAGTGGTTTTGATGTTGTTCTGCTTTATATTGTGAGCTCCTGGATTAGTTATGTCAAACTTAGCTTAGTTTTTGGGTCTGGGTAATGGCTTTAATTGTGGTTCACTGAGGTTTTAAAATCTTAGAGATAGCTCGTTAGGCTGGTGGATGTCAGAGATCTTTTTTTTCCAAATCTAGTCTTGAAAAGCAAGGAAATCTGTAGGGTAGCAAATACAGGCAATATGTCTATATGTCTCAAAGATTATTGGCTTCAAAGACTATAGATGCTTCTTACAAAATTGACAAGGCACCCAATTTTTATTAAAAATGAATACTTTTTGTAATAAAGCACCTCTTTTAATTTGTTTAACAGAATTACTTTTCTCTTTTACACATTCTTGACTCCCTTAAATTAATATCTTCTGTTTGACAGCCGTACTGCTCATTGCATCTGCACCTTCATGTCTCAGAGAACCCTTACGCCTCAGGAAACATTGTCAGCAAAGACACAGCTCCAGGAGTTATAATAGCATCAGGTGAGATTTGATTTGCACACGAATCTGCACATGCATAGTTTTGTTTACTCTCTGTTTTAGTGTTGGTCTCTGATGATTTACTCCAGCAATTCCAGTCAGATTGTTTTTGGCTCTGCTCTTGTGTACTTCCCTTCCAAGATGACAACACTTTACTAAAAGAGGTGCTATGTGCTTTTCCGGGACATTTGTTCTGTGTTACCTCAACAGAAATAATGAAACACTATGACTACAACCATAATGCCTGTTAAGGAAATACATTTGAAATGGACTATTTAACAATGCCGATTTTGTGTTGAATTTATTTATTCAGGTGTCCTTGGCCCAGAGTTAAGCAATGCAAATGTCAGTATCTTCATCACCTCTGATGCTGGGAATACCTGGAGAGAGGTAAATTTCTTCTGTTGGGCATTGGGTGGGATTTATTTTTCTTTATAGTTCATCAATCACTCAATTATACAAAGGCATGGCTTACAGGGACTTGCAAAAGTATCCATGTATCTCAGCCTTTCCATAGTTAGTTATATTACAACCACAGACTGCAGTGAATCATGTAAGGATTTCATGTGATAGAGTAATGTAAAAAAAAAAAAAAAAAAAAAAACACTCCTTGCAATTTCATTCAGCCTCCTATATTAAAGTCACCTTTTTAGGAGAACAAATCAATTTGTCTTTTTTGAATCTTAGATTAAATATATTTTCAGTGCTAAGACTAGTTAGATATTTGTTAGAGAAAAATCCGTTTCACAAATACCAAGAAAAACAACAGACAGGTCAAAGATTAGTAGGTACTTTAGTGACCTTTAGGGCTTTAAACAAAATTGCAAATTAAAATATGTCAAACAGAGCATTGTTCCATCTATTATTAGTCTATTGGACAATTGTTTGAAGAGTTCTTCATAAATACAGTCTAAATTTAAGACTGACAAGAATAAGGGGCATTGTTTAAAAAGTCAGAGGTCCTCCTTATAGCGTGCCTTTAGCTGTTCAGGGGTCAGAACAGGCGTGCAAAAGCAGAACAGTGCTTTGGTCAAATGAGACCTTTTCCCTTTCAGATTATGGTTTAACAACATGCAACCATGAATCCCTGTTACGCCTTATTCCTTGCACATCATGAAAATAACCCTGCTGAGCTGAGACACTTTCACAACATGGTTTTGAGATTGTTTGTTTGAAGGGGCGTGGCTTATTAGAATCATTTCCCCTAAAAGAAAGTGTAGACGTGTAGGGGATTTGATGCCCAGGAGGCTCAGCACTATTTCTGTCTGATGAAATTCATTCTTTAATTTATATACAAGAACTGTTTTTCACCTTCCTCAACATGCGGTAATCTGTATCTGGTTCTATTGAGGAATTTTTATCTCATATCAGAGATTATGTGGTTCTTTTGGACTGACTCTTGTTGCTTCAGCACCTTTTTTTGCTTGGTTTCACATCATTATGTGTTACTCATTCTGCAAAAAATTGTATTGCCTCTTGAGGTTTATACAGGTTACAGCTTGTGACCGTCTCCTGGGGTGGATAAGGCTTATATTATCTGTGGGCTGACTTAAGCTTCTGTATTGTGTCAGGTACTTTCAGCTATTTTAGAACACATCTAAAATGCAGAAAGTGGGTAAAAACCTATTGATCTTTTTAATCATGCCGTATCTGTTGGTATGTTATCCTGTGGGGACAATATTCCAGAAATCTATTTCAGTTTGAGGATCTACTGGAAAAAAAAAGCCTGCCCCCATGAGGAGTTCTGTTTTTGGGGTGGGGGCTAGGGTAAGGTTTTGTGTGTGGTTGTGGTGGGTTATAAAATACAAAAAAGAACAGGACTAGGAAAACAGTTCAGTCCAAAGAAAAATGGACATAGTTAAGTAAAAGGGGAAACCATGAAAAAAACATAAGAGGGGTGTAAGAATGTCAAAGGAAAAGTCCAGTCAGCAAGGAATAACCAATGGGTCATTATTTATACCTAAAACTAATACTTTCACAGTGATTTAATGAGTTTAGCATTAATCAGTAAAAAAATAAAAACAATATTTTTCGTCACCATCACTGAGTCCGGACATATATTTTTGCCCAAATATAGTAACACCTTACTCCTGATATCTGCCGGGAGTGACGTCATGGTGCGGTACGCCTAGTGCCATTCTCCGCGCTTTACAAGCAAAATTAATGGGAACTGCCAGACACATTCTGCAATCAACAACAATTATTTAAGATTCTGAGAGGACTTTACCATTGAAATTCACAAGAGCTATAGTTAAACTGACAATGCCCATGTGCATTGCAGTTGAATGTTGTAATACATCAGGTAAAAGTAAAAAAAAAATTAGTTATTTTACCTTTCCAATTCATGATCCACCACAGGTTCGTCTTTAGATTGCCAACTTGAAGAGGGAGGATTTACCATCGAACTTGTGGCCAGAGAAAAAACAGGTCATTAATCCGTGCATCATGCTTAGCATACTGCACCGGTCATCGCCATCATGGATAATTACGGGTTGTGACAAACACCAGATACAGAACTGGGACTTGCTGTATTGTGTGTATTCTGAATGTGACTGGACTTTTCCTTTAAGAGTGCATTGCTACTTTCTATCCCACAACAACACAGACGACTCAGTGAGAACTATGTTGGAATACTCAAAACAGAGGCATAAAATGTGTTGGTCAAGTAAAAGTGGTTACTTAAATCTGATCTGGAATTTTTGACTATCGCTCTTTTCAGAGTCTCTTCATTAAATAAGGATAAGTTCTTTTTTCCAATTTCAGAGAATTAAATACATATGCAAGACTTGGTTATTGAAAAAATACATACCGGTATGTAAGACTTGACTATTGAAAAAACAGCACAACCCACTTAGAGTGGTAATTATATAAACATTTTAAAAACATAGATAGGCATTCTGTATTTAAGATTCAAAAAATGTTTTAGTCTGTCAATATGCTCTATCCAGAACTCCTTGAGTGGTAAAGTTTTAGTTTCACGTGGTTTAATTCCGTAAAAAATCTTCTTCAAGGAACTTTTCGCTATCCCATTATTAATCAGTTCATCGTAAAAAAATAATCAACAGATTTATCGATTTGCAAAATACTTGTTAGTTGCAGCCCTACTTTTCACATGTCTAATTTCAGGCACTGAATCATTAATATTATAGTGTTTTCCTCTCATATTTTTACCATTTCACAACCACTGAGGTCTGATGTTAGAAGTAGTTTGGGTTCAACATTGTGCTTGAACAGGTTTTCATTACAAGTAACTTGCATCTTTTTGAACTAAATAAAGAATAAGCAACTACAGCCATGATTGGGCATATGTAAGCCAGCCTTTCTATTATTTTAGTTTGCAGTGGTGCAGCCACATCTGCAAAGAAACAGAGATGCGAGGTCTGACAGCCAGCCTTGTGCATTGCTGATCTTTGATAACAAATAAAACAAAGGTTGCATACATATTGTTGCTACCGGCATAAGACCCTACATATCAGAAAATATACCAGTATTTGTTTGACGTTTTTCACACAATTGAGACTCCTGTAAAAATAACAGCTTTAGGTTCTACTTGCTGTGTAGGTGAGAGCATGCATTTTTCTTGTGTTGGCACTGGTGTATACTTTTCCAGAGACTTGAAAAATGTTCACTGTTGTGCTAAAATAAAGTTGGTTGTGTGTGCATGTGCAGGTTTTTCAGGAAGCGTACAGCGTGTTTTTCCTGAATCAAGGAGGATCTCTAGTGGCCATCCGACACACACCTCTGCCAATTAGACACATTTGGTATGACTCTCCAAGGATGTTCAATGTCTTTTTAGAGAACATACTCGATCTTCAAAACAAGGAGGGAGATTGCTTTTCCTGCAAAGACTTTTCTGACTGAATTAAACTCTATTTGTGGTGGGTCTCTCTCCCCCTCAGGCTGAGTTTTGATGAGGGCAGAAACTGGGACAAATATAGCTTCACCTCCTCGCCGCTCTATGTTGATGGGGTGCTAGGGGAGCCTGGAGAGGACATCCTCATAATGACGTAAGACTTTGAGAAATTATCAGAAGAATGTGTGTTTGCAATATGTTAATTAATGCTGAGGCTAATTATCCATTACACCAATGAAGTGTTTTAACCTCTGCCCCATATACCTATTTTTTTTTAACATTGTTTTTATGACACGTTTTTCCAGGATATTTGGTCATTTTAGCCACCGATCTGAATGGCAACTTCTCAAGATTGACTTCCGACCTATATTTGAAAGACGATGTACATCTGTAGACTACATCACATGGCAGTTAGACAATGAGGTAGGAAAGTCTGTCTAATTGGTTTACAGCTTAACTTTGCCCTTGTATATAAAATAAGCTGGCAGCTGAGCAAATTAAAAGTTTTGATGAAGATGTGTACAAATGATTAAAACTAGGCTTATTGAGTGTATTTCTTTCAGGAAAGGGAGGGGGTTGGCCATGTACTTTAGTGTTTGTTTGGACATTGAACAGAAATAGTCATTATTTGGAATGCAAACTGACAGAAAATGTTCAAAAATCACAGAAATTAGTTACACAGCTATTTCTTTGGCAGCTTGGTTGCTCATGAGATTGCCTCAAAGAAACGAAACAGGATGAGACTATCTAAATAAATCATCTCATGTGATTTTCTGAGGATTTTTGTTTTTTGATAATAATGCAGAACATTTTTTTTTACTGACACAGCATCATACCACAACATGTAGATATAATTGCAGATTGTATATTCAGCCGTAAATGTGCTGAACATGGTCAAATTTAGCTGTTGTATATGACGTTTTATTATGTAAAGCCCACGGTAAAGCTTGACAATTTAGCCAGCGTATGCATGACGTATAAAAAAATCTGGTACGATGGCATACGTTTGATAAGTCATGGGTCAGTTCTCCAATGTGCATTATTTTACTCATATGGTTTCTGGTCAAATATTACCTAATTTAATCTGGATTGAGTTTTAAAGCATTGCAGACCACCATATTTGTTGGCGCTCTGCCAACAAGAAGGTCTTTCAGCCCAAACGTTGTTCTCTCTGAGACAATGTCAGTACTTGTGGTGACCAATCATACTAATTGTAACCATGAAAGTGAGTTCCCAAACAGTAAATCTCAGAAGAAGGTTATTAGAAAATAAAAATTTGTTTTAGATTAAAAATAAGCAAAATCATTTCTTAAATGAGCAAAATCAATTCCTCACCAACCGAAAAGCAAGTAACCTGATTAATGGTGATTATTTAATTATTATTATAATTGTATACCAATTTATTATTTAGATAATTGTTAGTTCGAGGACCCTGACTTTAAAACATTTGCTTAGAGAACGACCCACTCAGAGTTGTAATTGCACCAAAACTCTACAAACAATGTAGGCCTTTTGCAGAAAAGATTTAAAAAATCTGTTTATATATATATGCTCTGTATAGAACTTCTCAAGTGGAATAACTTTAGCCATAAGTAATTTAAATTTAGTTAAACAAATATCCATATTTACAGGTAAATAAAAAAAATAATAATAATCCACAGATTGTCCATTTGCAAATAATCATTAGATACTGTTCTTTCATTTCAGAGGTATAGAGAGACATGTTGCAAAACAACCTTTAGTATTATACCCAGGGCACTAAAAGTTGGGATTAAGGAAATAGTGTGAAATCTGTGGTCCACAAAAAAGTTCAGATGTACGAAACCACTCGACACATCACAGCATTGAGGGCAGCTGCACCTGCCTAAGGACCACCCTCTCCCTGTCACCAAACACATGCCTGCATTTGTATAAAAGCCCAGAGTGCACCCACCCACTATCGCTGTGCAGCTGCTTCATTTAGCTCCAATCAATTTAGATTCAATTCCGTTTATTTATATAGCGCTAATTCACAACATATGTTGTCTGAAGGCATTTCACAGAAAAAAATCAACCAGATCATACAGTCAGATTGGTTCAAAGTTTTCTATCTAAGGAAAACCAGCTGATTGCATCAACTCATTTACTCGAAAACAATCCCTCACACAAGCATGCTTGTAGCGACAGTGGAGAATAAAAACTCCCTTTTGACAGGAAGAAACTTCCAGCAGAACCAGGCTCAGTGTGAGTGGCCATCTGCCGAGGCCGACTGGGGTTTCATGGAGACAGGAGCAAACATACAAAAGGAAGCAGAGATACAAAAGGTTACTGTCAACCAGCCCTACAGATGGCTCCTTCCCGGAAACACACAGCCCATCAGACAAGTTCCAAGCCAGCTCCAATGTCAGAGGATGAAAGAGGGGACATACTATTAGCCATTGTAAGAGATACAGGACTACACTGAAAAACAGGCCAAGCACTACTATTTATAAACAAAGATTTGATGGCAGCAGCACAGCTGATATTTCTCTCCGGGATGGTCAGATAGCCACACAGGAACAGAACATATGGAGCTACTATAATAAGAAAAACCAGAGAGAGCATAAAGTTGGAGATTGGACTAACAAATACTGCAGACTGGAAAATAAAGATAGAATGAAGCAGAATTATGAAAAATGGTCCCTATGTCTTCCAGCAGTCTAAGCCTATAGCAGCATATGTATAGGGGTAGCTCAGGATAACCTGAGCCACTCTAACTATAAGCTTTATCAAAAAGGAACATTTGAAGCCTAGCCTTAAAAGTACTACTTTTAGAAATTCTAACAACCACTAGTAAATCTGCAGATTGAGAGTGAAGTGCTCTGTTAGGAATATAAGTAATGATCTGAACCCTGATATAAGTCAGAGCTTGGTTATTTAAAACTTTATATGTGAGAAGGAGGATTTTAAATTCTATTCTGGATTTAACAAGAAGCCAATGAATAGAAGGTAAGATAGGAGAAATATGTTATCTGGTTTTAATATTCATCACCTCATTGTTATGTAATGTAATGTACACCAACTTACCATTATGACATTTTTATACATCCCACATTCCTATTAAAACTGTCTCCACAGACACTTTATAAAATTGATAAATAAAATACTGCATGCCACTTTATTTGTTCTGTAGGAAACCTTTGTGCATCATAAACAGCTCATATATTAGATTAAAATTGATTCAAAAATTATTATTTGTTCATAATGCATAATGCAGATAATGCAATATAGAATTATTGCTACTTGCAAGAAATCAGAGCCACAGTTTAGGAGAATCTTAGATTTCTGAAAAAAATTGGATGAGGCAATTCTATATGAGTGACATGGCATGGCTGAGGAATGACAGTGAAATAATTGACTCATGGGTTAGCTCTGTAGCAATGTAGTGAGAACTGGAACTGGTTCCAGTACCAGCAACACATGGTCTTTCTTAGTTTCCCTCTGCAACGCTGTGGCCAGTACAATGATTATTGCCTTGGACTAGTTAATACCTAGAGTTTGCATCTAAATGAGGTTATTTTATACCAATTTTAGCTCAGTGTTACACCATGCATTGTGTAAATACATCAAAAGAGACATGCATTCTTGAAAAATGTTTAAAGAGTTTCCCTAATTTCTACAAGTTTCAACTTATATAAAATAGAAGCAGTGGGATAACAGATTTAATGTATTTCTGCATCAGAACTAATCAGATTAGAAAACCTCAAGACTATAATGTGTAATAAAAATATTGACAAATGATTGCATTTGAGAAGCAAAATTTCTAGTATATATTTTTAACACTATACAATGTTGTGCTTTGTTGTTGTAGGTGGATCTAGGGTTTAAACTCCAAAATAAAAATAATTATCAAATAATTTATCTCTACAAAAAGCATTCATGTTTTAACACAGAATGATTTTACCATCATAACATTTCCTTTTCCCTCCTTTGTTGTTCAAAATACTGGGCTGTAAGGGGTTGTAATTTCTTATCTCACCCAACAAACTGTCACAGTTAAAACTACCCAGCATCTTTCTCAACAACATGAAATCCAAAGTCTTAGTGGAATATGCAACCCAGCATTTTTTTTTTGTGTGTGTATCTTTGCTAAGATAAAAATAGCTGTAAAAGAACTCTCTATTTCCCATGCCTGACACAACTGGCTGGACTATGAACTGTCTATGCCAGTCTACTACAACATGCAAGCTTCAGAAGAGCAGTCTGTGCTTAATCTTAAAGAATCACTTTGATTTATCTACACAATGAAAATAACATGCTATAAAGCATGCGGGAAAATAAGACATTTTTATGATGCATTATTTATCACAGGGAGAAATATGCATCATGGGCATGAAGAGAATCTTCCAAAAACTGAGAGCAAACGCTCGATGTGTCAAGGCCAGAGATCAGTATATTTCTCAGATGTCAGATTCCTGCCCATGCACAGAGGCAGATTTTGAGTGGTGAGTTTCCCTCTCTGCAGCTACACTCTTTTCACTTCATTAAGTCAAATTCTTAACACTTCATAAGTCTCCAGAGGCAGTATGTGTGAAGCAAAAAAAGACACAAGGAGAAAAGAGATTAAAGGGATACGTATGTGCTGGAATTCAGAGCTCTATATAGATTAATTGGTAGATACTCAGACAGACTGATACATACATACTGTACATGATATTGATAGATAGATAGATAGATAGATAGATAGATAGATAGATAGATAGATAGATAGATAGATAGATAGATAGATAGATAGATAGATAGATAGATAGATAGATCTTGTGTCTGAAAATATTTTATGTGAAAATTTGACATTTACTTTCCTGAAGAGTTGCTTCAACTGAAGATGACCTACTTTTTCTCTCTTTAGGTCTAACAAGTAATGTGAAGCATCATGTACACTATTTCATTCAGCTCCTAAGCTTCTTTAATGACTATGTCTGACACCAATATGCAACACTGTATGCCTATTAAAACTTCATGTGATTCCCTCATCATGATGAAAGAAATGTGAAAAATCTGTAAGATCACAGAGTATAATTATAATCTTATATACGCCATCAGTAATATCTCTGCTGAGTGATTTATAAATCATTCAATCTCACCCACCATTATGTTGTCTAAGAATTTTTCACACACCAGTAATATTCTACAGTTTTTGGAGTTAAATTACTTACTGTGCCTTTTTTTTCTTTTTACTTAAAACAGTGACTATGGGTTTGAGAGGCAACTCGATGGGAGCTGCACCTCAGCTTTCTGGTTTGTTCCTTCAGCATCAACCCAAGACTGCATTACAGGGGACAGCTTTTTCAACACAACAGGGTATGCTAAGTTCACATGTGCTGACACCAAACGGAAAGCACAGGCTTTAAAGATTCAGCTTTAGAAAGTGTGAGGATATGTTTTTGAAATGGTGCCAACTCCATAATTAGACAAGATCTTTTAAATTTGATGCCAACATAAATCCATATTAACTAACCAGAGATATCCTCCAGAAAAGGAAGTTTTTTATTTTTTGGAGGAACAAAAGGAAACCTTATATCAGAAACTAAAAGGTGTCAGATTATTTTTCATCTATTGTTGGTAATATTAACAAAAATATCTTTGGAAAGTGTAGAACAGATATACTTTCTATAAAAATGTTCATGTTGTACTAATCTTATAAACTTCAGAAATTTTGTCTTGTCTGCAGGGAACATGCTTTTTACGTTCACAAGTTTATTAAGGTGCCAGAATATCTTCTTGGCTAGAAGAAGCCTATTCTGTTATCAAGTATTGTAATTCTTTGGGCTATTTAACAGTTAATTGTTAAACTATTTTGTTTAAAGCAGAAAATTAAATACATGCTATGAAGGTGCATTAATGGACTTTTTTATTATAAATGAATAATTAATGTAAGTGTTATGACAAAGGACAAAGAATGATGAAAGGTACTTAGATGCATCTTATATTTGGAAACAGGGAAGTGAGAAGCTCTGGAAAAGCTCAAGAAAATACAATGTATTCGGCTTCTAAATGGTTGTTAACATAGTTGCTTAAATAAGTTATCTAATTTTTTTGTTTTTCTGGTATGTTTAACTTTTAGCACCTCTACAATTTCTATGATACAGTGCGCTCTGGAAAGAAAGCAGAAAGTAGTTAATGTTGTTTTGTAACACAACAATGCATTTGTCCCATTAGTCCAGGTTAAGTATGGTATTGGTCTAGAAAAAGATCTGGATTTTTAAGAAGTTTTAGTGGCTCTACTAGTAATCAACAGCAGAAAGGAAATAGATCAAAGAGTCAGGAATAAGACATACAGCAAAGGTCTTTTGGTTGGGATCCAAACTGTGTGCTGCATGCTCTACCTCCTTACTACCTCTGCATCCCAAGATCTGGATTTCTCATCAGTCTAATTATAATGTGTACAACAGGGCTAGATTTAGATTCCCTACATGTACAAGATTCTTTAAAATATAACATTTACACTAGTCTGATGATTTGGTAGGCATCTACTAGGCAGGTTGATACCCATGAGTATTACATAAACAATCTTTGAATTTGTTCTTTTCTTACTTATAAACACAACTGTATATCCCAAAATTCCTAGATGAAATAAAAAAAAAACTCAAAAAAGAACTTAGCAACAACCTTAAGCCACAGTTGTTTAAGTTTGTACTGTCATATTTTTATTTTTTAGTTATATACACACACAGAATTTAACAAATTAAACCCCATTCAGTGATTTGAGCTTATATGCTTTCTTAGTAAATGAATACTAAGTTTGCAAAACAACTGCTTATTTAATTAGGAAGAATGCTTGCTTTCCTGGTAACCGTTTAGTAAAGCTCAACCATGGTCTCCATATGAAGAGTATCCCAGATGCCTGTGAGTTTAGATGTATTTTTGCTGCATTAGTTGATAAAAGACAGCTTTCTTGTACAATAAGGTATAAGTGGCATACGTATATCAGTTTAAGTAGATAGTTTAGTGTTTTAGAAATATTTTCTGAAGTAATCTCCTCAAAGGTGGATATATCAGCTCCTGAGGAACAACAGTTCGCCTGAGGGACTGAAGAGTGCAGGTGTCAAGCTTGAGTTTGGATTTCTATCTTCTGTTTTCTTTTGTCATTTAAGTATACTCTAACCTAAGCACCCAGGTGGTTGGCCGATGGAGGGATAATTTAAGGTTTTCTTAAGAAATTGTTATGTTAAGTAGGTATTAGCAGCTGGCATCTTATCATTTGAGATACACTCTCTTAGACTCTTTTATATGAATACAAAGTAGCTTTTCACAAAGGTTTATGGTAATAGTTGATATAATCTCTCTAATATTAAAAAAGCCAAAGAGGTTCATGAAAATTCTATATTAGAAACATTACTGCATTTATGCTGCATCCATATTTTGTTTTTGATCTCGACTCATAGCAACACTGTCTTATTAAATGTTCAGTGTTGCAATATGAGCTGCAGAGACTTAAGGTCGATTAAAAATAATATGTGCATGATTTTTTTTTTGTCACTTTGGTCCTTGACTGCATGCTCAGCCTACAGCAGAAGTGTATTCTTTAAAAAAAAAATCAAATGAGTAACTAACGTCCACTCAGTCATTTGAAATATATTTACTAGTCATAACTTTCAGATCTCCGATTTATGATGAAATGGAAGGAAATAGAAAAAATATTATATAAATGACAGGGTAACTAATATGTGTACTGTTAAAAGTGGATTTTGTGGCAGTGTAAAATTCTAATGTATTTCTTGTATTTATTAACAATTCAAATGTAATTTGGTTGAAATTTTTGTTTAAAATAAAATTCTATTTTAAATTACTGGCCATTTAATCAAACAATATAAAAATGAGTGACTCTTAATGTCACACATAATTTAGATTACTATCTGGACTTTTATTTTTCTCTTTCTCACAACATTAAGATGTGTTTATGTTGGTCATTTCACTTCAGATATCGTAAGGCTTTGTCAAACAACTGCACAGATGGAAGTCTGTTAAAGTACAGCCCCAGGCAACAAAAGTGTCCCAGCCGGGCTCCCAGGGGTCTCCAGCTCTTTACCAGCGAGGGGACATTTGTTGCAACACTGGGCAGGAACGTCACCTTCTTGGTCTTTCTGGAAGAGGTGATAATTTCTTCATTTTATAAAATAAAAAGCACTGCACACTTACAGGCAGTGGCTGTAATGAAAGAACAGAAAGTGTTATTTCAGAACAGATGATTATTCAGAAGGTAAACTTACATTGTGAAACATAAGGAACATTAGACAGGCAATATGTTATATTACTGGCTATGTGAATAAAATAGTTCTATCATATACTGTAGATCAAAATGTCACAAAATACTTAATCTATTCATTTCAGATTACAGGTTAACAGAGGCCCCTCGGTTACAAAATAATCCCTTTCCATATTTTACGCTTAACATTGCATACTTCTGAGAGTAATTTGGAATAAATGTTTGAACATTAAAAGCAACAATTATTGTAGTTTGTGTCTCATAAAGCTATCCCAGAGGCTGCCCTGTAGAAGAAGATAGGATTCTGAATAAATATCTAAGACTTTCATTCATGCAACAAGATTTCCTGGGTAAGATCAAATATTCAGTAGCTAAGTAGCTAATAACAGTACCAGTGATGCCAACTAAAATAGTATTGATTTTTTTTTTTTTTTCTTCTTTGCTGTTAAGAAACTTAGATCTCAAGTAACTAGCAGAAATATTTAGTGATACATTATTTAATGAAAGGGGATTTTCAAGTCTGGTCTAGTTGCATTATTTTTGGCCAGAGGCGGGTATAATTTCCCACTGTGCTCTCATTACATATCACGGGTGGGGGGGAGTGTATTTAAATGATTCACACACTGTGATTTTTGTTTTAAGACCTGCAGTAAGCAATTGGCTGCTGACTTATTCACTGTGCCAATTTTATATGAAAAAAAAAAGAAAAGACATTCCTAAATGTAACACTTGATAGGAGGCTGAGAGATGCTAGACAGAAGAGGCGCTGCGAGGAGAAGGGAGTGTTTGATGGTGAGCAGAGAACCGCTCTACTCATGCCTCAGGAAAATATTCATACATTGATAGTCAAGACATGTTATTAATTGAAAAGAGAAAACATGAGTTAAACAGTGCAACATGAGCGATTACAATAAACACAATGCATTTTATATAATGATACCTTTTATTTTCCCTTGCAAATATACTTGTCGACTGCAGAATAATAAGGTGTAAGAAAAACAGTTATATCAAAAAAGGGGCATGACTTCACTTGGAGTGCCTTTCAGGCGAATTAATTCCTCAACTATTCCTGATTTTTGTTTCATCAGAACCTTTGATTGCATCAGGGGCGGATCTAGAAAAATATTTATGGGGTGGCAAGAGGGGGGCAGGAATTTTTTAGGGGTGGCAACATATGGCATTTGTTTACACTGAATTTAATCACAGTTATCACAGTTTGGTGAGAATAGTATGTACAGTACTAGTGTTTCATGTGAAACAGTTCATATTAATAATACATCGTACAATGTGATCTCACCTAGTAGGAGATAGAAGAATGATAACACTACTTCTAGAGGGGCCTTATGACAGGAAAGGTATTAAGGTAAGACACAGGTGCTGAGTCGCAGATGTGTGAGATTGACTGTCAGAGATGCAGCTTTGCAGCATTTGCACAAGAAGAAACTATAGAAAGAAAAAGTTACCCATTAGAGATCTATGGACTGAGCTGTACTAAAGTGAGCAGAACTACACAGTAGAAATAAATGGGTCAAGGCACCCGAACAAGGTACTGGACATCTATGTAATGTTTACTCTGAACACACATTTACCCCATTTGTTCCTCAGTAACTTGACATACAGCAGTTAAGGCAACATGAAAGGGACATTTCATGCATGTAAATATGCTGTAGATAGAGCTGTATATGAAGGACCAACTCTGCCATATTTAAAAATAAATACATAAATAAATAAATGCTCAATAAATAAATAAATAAGCATACAATTAATTGCCACCAAAAATACAATCAACAAATAAATGTAATTAGAAATTATATTATAATGGCAGGCAGAAATGTTAAAAGGGCAGGCAGAAAGAAATACAGGCAGAAAGAAATAACTAGGGTAAAAAAATACAAAGGAAGAATAAAACAGACAAAAATATGATAACATGCACATAAATAAATACTTAAAAATATAAGTAATTAAAAAATGAAATTGAAGATAATAAATGACAAAAAAATAAATAAGGTAAATATTAAAAAGGCAAAGAAATAAAGAAGCCAACCTGACTTTTATCATCTCAAAATCAGCAGCAAAATCTGCTCCATTCACTGCAGTCCGACATTGGAAATTAGCGGTCGTAATTCTCAAATGATCCATAATTTATAAGCCTCGCCACCCCTACCGCCAACTTGGGTGGCCGCTGGGGTGGCAAGGCTGTCATTTAGGGTGGCATTTGCCACCCTATGCCACCCCAGTAGATCCGCCTATGGATTGCATGTATATTATTGTATTGTATTGGGAGTTTATATGACAGACCAGTGCAAAGTAGTGAACAAGTAGAGGGGAATTTTAATATTTTCATAACTACATTACCTCAACTTAAAATAGAATGCAAATAACTACCTTTTTTTTAAAAGAGAGAAAATCTTTCATGGATTATTGTTCAATTCATTATAAAAATTGAAAGGGTAGAGAACCAACTTTCTAAAACAATGCCATCAAAATAGATCAAGGGAAAGTGGAACTTTAATTAAAAAAGCAGCCAACTTGACAATTATCACTCTTGAGGAGTGACAGAGCTCCACAGGTCCAAGAAAGCCAATTAACATTAATGGAGCGATAAAAAAAAAATCTAATTACATGACCATCAACGAGAAAAAAAAAAGAATAATTTTTAGAGCCCACAAATAGGAGGACTGGATTACAGCTAAGGTTCCCAAAATAAGTAGATAGTACCACATAGTACCAGAATGGACTCATGACCCAAGTATTGGTTGGTTAGATTACAAGCAATTACCTTAGGTGAAAACTGATTACTCAACATCAAAACCAGTGTATTTGGTTTTGTCTATTTATAAGTGATGTTTCCATATCTTTAAACTGATAAATATGCTTCATTATCAGCCCCAACTTTGGAAAAAAAATGGATGAGAGGATAATGTTTCGGCAAACCAGTGCCCCAAACATACATCCCATTAAGCTAGACTGTACAGGTCTAGAAATTAAATTGTTTTTCTCATATGCCTTCAATATTATCTGAATTAGCTGAACCTATTTACCAAAGTAAAATTGGTAAATATTAGTCTGTTACCTTATTGAAAATGTTTGTTTTTTGTATTCAAAGTAAAAGGTGATTCTTCATTTTACTAGAGGGACCAAAATAGAACTCAGGCCAGGGTTTAGAGATTTCTTTCTTTCCCCCTTTTCTACTGCCTCACATTTACACAGCATTTAACCTGTTTTATGGAATTCTAAGAAACTACCAGGGTTTATCATCTTAACAAGGCAAAAAGCTGAAATGTCACCCATACAAAGGTACTATGACAGACTAGAAACACTAACGTGTCTATATGCAAACATCTCTGATTGTAAACACCTACTGTAGAACCTAAAATTAACTGTTTACTGTAGTCTTTTAGGGAAAATGTTTCTAGACTGTCTTTGGAGTTTGCTTTTATCACCAAGTCAGTATTCACCTAAAGTGGTATTACTCACATGCATCAAGTATTTATTCAATGTAGTGTAAATCAAAGATGCTGTCACACAGGCTATAGCTCTGAGGTATCAAATAAATATGCATCGACGTGATTTACGACATGACCTTATTTTTGTAGCTTTTATAGAAAGTGCTCGTGCAATGAATCAGTGACTGCAGAAAGGAATGGTCGAGAATGAATGAAAGCATCTTTTTATTTTTTTGAAGGGTCTTGGCTCCATGACGAGTATAACTGTGGACTTCGGTGATGGAACTGCCATATCTTACGTTAACATCAGTTCCATTGATGATGGGGTCAAACACATCTACAATAAAGTTGGAATCTATCAAGTTTCAGCAACAGCAGTCAACAATCTTGGCTTTGATAAGGTCCTCCTTTACCTCCATGTATCCTGTAAGTCTAAAGTTGGTTTGTAAAAGCTAATGTGTAAAAAACAAAAAAAGCATTTGAAATGATCCAAAGTTGTTCAGTGAGCTGGCATTTGGATGTATGTAGTTTTATGAGGTAACCCGAGAAAAGAGATAAGACCTTTACACTATATTTTTATTTATTAAGGGGACATTTTAAAAAAGAATTTAATCTGGAATTCTCTAAAGTAATTCACATTTTTGGAAAGCAAAGTTAATCGCACCCATGACGGATTATTGGCAGACTTTGTCAGCAATGATTTAAATAGAACTTGTGTAACCCAATAAAGTAGGCTAAAACATAAAGTATCAAACACTAGTTGATATAAATTTGATAACACATTAGTAATAAATTCATTGAAATTTGTCAGTGTGGAATGGGTGGTAAGCTTTCCTGAAAGGGGTCTGTCTATGTAAAATACTCACACACATTAACCAATCATCTGGGAGATCACATAAGAACCCAGAACAACATACCAACATATTTTCTATGGACTGTGAGACAAATTTGTAAGTATTTAAAAATGTCCGTCTCTGCATTTCAACATAGCATGTTGTTGGTAAAATGATAATCTGGTATAGCTTTGCTGCTAAAAATGTTAATCATAGCTGTAAATAGATCTTTATTATATACAATAATCTAGCATTCTGTGTGGAAGAAAAATGGACGATTGTATTTATGTCCATACTACCATAGAAGATCCCAATCACTCAATTCAAAACAAGACTCCCTTTTGTTGTACTTAGTGTTGAACATTTTATGGTTGGGAAATAAAGCCTCTTAGCACACTGCAGAAGTCAAACCACTTATGGAACACAAATAGCTTTAGTACTGTCTTCCAGTGTTCAGCGTGTTCCACTTGGTCTCTGCTGTGGTAAATATTACAAACAATTCATCTGTTGAAGTTTAAAAGCACCAGGGAGGCATTAAATGTAGCCCTTTTTAATAAAAGGTGTGACTTCACACTTTATGTGTATTCTCTCTAAAGGTCAGCTCGAGCAGGTGCAGCTTTCAGCTCCTTTGGTGGTCATCAAGAACAAAGCAGTGAATTTCACAGCAACACTTCGCCCCAGTAGTGTGGGAACAGTCACGTATTTCTGGTGGTTTGATAATAAGATAGAGGTAAGCCCTATTTATCCATCTCCAGAGCATTGCACCTGAGAAACATGAGAGAATTACGTATATGGTCTCTTTGTTTTGCAGCCATTTGTGACCCTTGATGCAGCAATGTCCTTTACCTTCTCCAAGGAAGGAAGTCGCACCGTTACTGTACAGGTTGTGGCTGGAAATACTGTCCATCAGGACCGAATCAGAGTGGCAGTTTATGGTAATACATCTATACATATTTGTATATTTGCTCATTTATTTATTTTTTGGATTAAAATATATTTTACCATACACATTTTTATTAAAAAACCCTCTCAAAGTGACTAATTTTTATCATTTCTAAACACTTTTCATTTGGGACCCACTTGTAGCTGAGTGAGGCAAAGAAAAAAGTTATAATTTCTCAATGTATCGGTTGAGATAACTCTACATTGTGCATTTGTATGCATGTATGTCACTTAATATTTAGTGAAATATCTTTTCGACTGTCATGCATTTTTCTCTGAATACACACCCAGCTAGCTATGTGTTAGGACTAGGGCTGGGCAATGAAACAATAGAAATATACATTGTGATAAACACCTGATCAAGATCAATAGACCAATTGAAAATATATCCAATATGATGTTCTAAAAATTTAGAATCTTGGGGGAATTGAGGGGGTGTAGACAAAGGAAACCTCTGTTGGACAAGCTAAGCAAGATTGTTAGTAAGGGTGAACTCTTTATAAAGGTTACACCAAAAAAGTAAAAAAAAACACTGGACTTTGCTTTCCAAGTTTGAAGATATTTCATTCAAAATTTCAAGAGGAGCAGTGGGCTGCAGTCATTGGCGAGTGGGGCTTGAACTCGAACACAGAACCTCAGGATTGCAAGGTCTATGCCCTAACCACTAGGCCGCCACTCCCCTTCCACAAATTGGCATTGAATTCCAGTCTTTATTAATTAACCCAACAAAGCTTTGTTTTGGCTTTAAAAAACATGCAAATTGAACGGGAATAACAAGTCCGCTCCTTAGTAATGGAGAGTTGTTTAGCTCTTTGTTGGCCTACAACGCCCAATACTGGCCTATGCCTCTGAAAAGGGGGGTCATTATGGGCATTGTTGGCCTGGCTGACCATAAAGCTTGGAACTCAGTGCTAATTTCAGACATATTTAATTGAAAAAGCTTCCTGGAAGAGAAACAAAACGTCTTTAAACTTTAAAAAATAAAGTCCAGTGGTTTGTTTTTTGAATATTTTGGGAATGACTATGACCTGGATGAGTAAGAAAATGAAATGAAATATCTACTTGTTGGGACCATTTTAGCAGTTAACTGTATTTAGTAGATCAGAAAACATATAAAATGTAACCTATTGGTGTCTAAACCATTATTGAAATAAAACTTGCCATAACTTTGAAAAGAAAGTTCAAAACGGGTTAGCATCTGGTTCCACTCGCATTGGTATTAACATGTGGTCACCTATGCTGCTCAGTTTTCAAACACAGTAAAACACATCAAGCATAATGAAATTATCAGAAATCCAAATTGTTTAGCTAAAAGACACCTTCCCTTCTAGAGCTGGTACGTCTTAATTTCCATTCTAAGAAACAGTAGGCATTTCCTATGGTGCTTAGGGCTGCTGATGAAATGATAGCCTGGACTTAATGTGTACTCTTGAAGAACACCCCCCAGCTGTTTCTAGGTGGTTCTTAGTTCATTGACTCATAGAAGGAGCCACTATTGCCAACTTGCATGTCTGCCACGATATTTAGTGACTTTTCAGACCTCTCTAGCACTTAGAGGGAATCTTGTAATTTTTTGTTCTGTGTTAATGGAGACTTTGAATACAAATTATAAAAAAACAGATATCTGTCCTCCTGAGCGAGGTGCGAGTGGATTGATAAGTCTGCCACCCGTTTTCTCTCTCTCACTGTCCGCGGTCGTCTTGAAGGGTAGGCTGAATCGCTGCTGCACAGAGAGAGAGAGAACCTTTACACTTTACCCTTTGAATTCCATATTGCAAACGAAGTGCACATGTGTGCATAGTCTAGATTGCAAGGGAGAACATGAAAATATATTTTTTGACGACGCAGTTGTCTCGCATAAAATAAAATCACTGCTAATTCACTCTGCAGCCTCATTCTCTCCCTTTCTACTCCTCCCGGCTCATTGTTAGTTAAAAGACTAACTCAGAGATGGGAGGCTTTCTTCTCCTTCTTCATTAATTGTTTTTCTGGTTGATGAACAACTAGTGGTGCGTTACAGTCACCAAATGGTAGGGAGTGTAGAACTAAATGTCAGGAATCTATGTACCTCCACCTGGAGCCGGATGACATGAAATATGCAAATTAAGCGATGATGCTATCTAGTGCCTTCCAGGACAGCCAATAGCGACTTTGCTTGGTGAAGAGTTGGCAACACTGGAAGGAGTTTATTAATCCAATCTGTTGGATCTCAAGGCCAAGTTGCTCCTGCAGAAGTCAGAGAGAGATGCGCATTGCTTGGTCTTAGCAATCTGATCCTTGAAAGGAGTCTCCGCTTAACCTTTGATCAAGGTTTAAAGAATGTGGTTATCTTGTTGAAAAGGGACAGATATTCAGGTGGTCCCTTTATTATTGCCTCATTTACGGTGCCCCTCTGAAACCGTTCCGCACTGAGTTTGGACCGAGCGTGGACCAGTTAAGTGTGCTGAGCTTTGTTCTTACGACCATTTACACCGCTCCACTAGCACAGTTACTCTCCTCCTATCAATCATCTGCAATACTTCAGCTCTCAAGCCGGGAATTACGCAAACAAATATGGCAGGGCCCATAATATTCAGGAACTTATCTGCCTAGATAGCATCCTCCCCCCAAATTTCAATGAGAATCTCGGTTTTGGCATCATCCCAGGTTGCACCATGCTTTTTTGGTGACATTTATTGTCAATAAGCTGAGAAGAAAATTGTGTTTTGAACAGTTTAAGAAATACAAGCTGGATACGCCGGAAAACCCACAAAATGAGTCAGCTAACTGTGAATAGGAGATGACGCGCTCTGCTCATGCACTCTTTGTTATCAGAGAACCGAACCACAGCCGAACAGCACTAAGAACTACTGTTGAACTAGTACTACAGTTGTACCACAGTTCGGTTGTGTCTGGCAAGATAGAGTTCAGTTGCGTTCCATTTATACACTCAACAGTTATCTAGGTTATCATTGTCAGACTGTTGGGCTTACGTGGCTTGCTTCCAGAACTGTCTTTGGAAAATAGAAAGTGGTGTGGTGGATAGAGCTTTATGCTTGGGTATCCACAGGGGGTCCAGGATGGACCCCTGTAGATACCCCCTTTGAAGTTCTTCCTATGGTACTGAAATACCAGAGGTCTCAGCTCACAGTCTGTAAACACTGTTTACAAACCTGAATCCCAGTTCCTACAGTGCTTAGTATTCATAGATGTTCATATTAATTTCTTTGTTGTATGGCAAAACATCCCAAACCCTCCTACTGTGAAATTTGTCCAAATCAGGAGAGACCTAGGTTGCATCTAACTCTTTTATCTGTTATTTCTGAATAAGACACTTGTGGCTTGGCTAACTGTACGTTTTTATTCAGAAATTAAAGCTAACCATGGATCCATGGAAATGTTGTTAAATAGATGTGCTCAGGGATGACATACGTGTTGTTTTTTGTGGGTAACTGTGTGGGAAATTATGGTATGAAAAAAAATGAAATCTTTGATTATATGGTGGATTCAGAGTTAATTATGTTTTTTTAAACATATGCCATATGTACTTAACAATTGAGAATTATTATTTCTTGATAAAAGGCAATAATAATTTGGATACAATGATTCAATGAGAGTTCCTTGAAGTGATAGATTTCAGAATCCAGTTGGTCAGGGTGCCAGCAGCCAGATGATTTCCCCATCTAGCTCCAGAAGAAGCTCATCTCTAACCTTTGACAGCCTGATCACCATTGCTGAAACCTGTCTGGGGACACTGCAGACAAACACCAGATGATGCTGTGCGCTTTGATCTGTCCCTCAACTAACCGGCAGTACATACCAAATGTCAGACCTGCAAATACTACAGCAACAACATCCTCAGCTTTTTCATAATTTTTATATAAACACTTATTAGATATTCTATTACCACTAATGGGTAAGGAACCATTATGGCATATATAAACAACTGTTTCCAGTTATATTTTCCACATGGCACACATTTCTGTTAAATCCAATGACAGAAATAAAGTTTTGTTATGTGTTTTAACAACAGTCTGGAGGTTAATTTCGCTATTGCATCGTATTTCAGTTGCTTTCTGCAGGGTTAGATCATACTTGGTAGACCTTTAGTAAATTAAAGGTTAAAGCTGTCCATCTCTTAATTGTGGGTAAGATTTCAACCAATAGTTTTCAAACTCGGGGCCGTCTTGCTGTGACTCAACAGTACAAACTAATATATGTGCCATTTTGTAGCCCATGGTGCAATCTTCCGAGCTAATTTTATACAGACCTTTAGAAATTATAAATAATACAAATTTTCGATATTCCGCAAGTGGTCGACTGTACATTTATCTGTTTGCATGACTTACAAGAAAGGCAGTCTAAGAGCACAGACCTCCACCAAGCAGCAAATTTTGCACCAAATTGTGACTTACACCTGTAGCTAAAACTCGCACATGATCTGGATCATTACTAAATTTAAATGAATTGTTCGGTGTTATGAGGCAAAGCTCTGGTAAAATGTGTCCATAAAATCCATTCATAAGTTTTCAATTGAGCCTGTCAAAAAACCAACTTTACCTTTTATTGTGTTTTTGTCTTGCGTGAAATACCACTGGACTTTAATCACTCCAATGCTGAAGCTGTCAATAGTCACTGCTGCCACCTATCCATTTTTGTCATGCTTCATCCCTGCTGGGCTCGCTAGGGGTGCTGCGGCCTATCTCCAACTGACTATAGGTGAGAGGCAGCTTTCACCCTGGACAGGTCGCCAGTCCATCAAATAGGACACAGGCATGTTTTTAGGCTGTTGGAGGAAGCCAGGGTACCCAGAGAGAACCCACACATGCACAAGGAGAACATGCAAACTGCATGCAGAAAGACCCCAGGAATCGAGCCAGAAACCTTCTTGCTGCAAGGTAGTAGTGCTACCCACTGCCCCACTGAGCAGCTCTACACCAAATATCACTGTCTTACAATGTAAGCGTATGTTTTTAAAAAGTCCTATGTTCAGATTATGATATGTATCATCACATAAATGTAATGTCTTGGCATGAGGGACAACCCTGATAAAAAGTGAATTAAAATCTGTCCATAACTTTTCAAGTTATCCTGTAAACAGACAGACAGAAAACCAAACACAAACTCTCCTAAAAACAACCTTTTTGGCAGAGGTAATAAATAATATCAACAAGCAGTTTGCTTAAAAGGTATAATAATTTAGGGCTCTTGAGTGTCATTGTTCACTTGAGTCAACAGTCTCAAATAAGAATTACACAATTGATATAAATACAGTACATCACTTTTTCATAGTATAAGAGAATGCCAACAGGACAGAGTCAGATTCAGAAAATCAAAATGCAATTTAGAAGGTCATTCATTTCAATGGCTCAATTCACTAAGTGAAATACATTATATAATGAAATTACACACAGACTGATGTATTTCAGCAATTATATCTGTTAATTATGATATTCACTTAAGGCTATTAAAAAGAAGACATTCAAGATAAGAAACTAGTTCAGACGAATGAAAAAGAAATAGTACCTAAATATGAGCTCAGGGATAGTCTAGAAACCTGAGTAAAATGAAAGATATGCGTGCTTTAGGGGGATTTTCAAAAGAAACTTAAATCTCTGATAAACAAGCATCATCTTGACACAAGTTGTCTTAACTAAATATGGTGGCACAGATTAATTAAAATATGGGTAATAACTAAGGATATTTCAACAAATGAAGAAAATAAAAAATTCAAAGGCTCTGGTTTAATCTGATGAGAGGAAGTTTCTTTCTACTTTTTTTCAGTCTAAACCAATTAAACTGGTTCACATTTTTTGACATGAGGAATTGTTTAAACCAAAGATATATATGTCGGGAGAGGATTACCCCTATCAGACCTATATATCTAGTGACATGAGCACCCAGGCGCCTTTGCTATGCATTGAGCCATGTAAACAAAACTATGCTTTACTAATGGGGAATGACCATGGATCTGTCATTAAAATGGTTGTAGCTCCCTGAGAAATTGTCACTCCTTTGATGCATAAAACATTTAGTCTATATAAACAACAAACCCATAAGCTGTGTGGGAGCTGTGACCTATTATGTTGACAGACATATTTACTGTGGTATAAAGATGCTGTTACCATAATTGTTTTTAAGAGCTCAAATTGCCAACTTTTTTTAATACCATCACAGTTTAATAGTTACGAGCCTTGGTGCTGACATTTTTAAACTATAGGTTAATAAAAGAAGATTGGACCAAACTAGACAGGTATAGCACCTGGATATTTCCCATCGCTGCCAATGTCCCGTTTGGATCCGAGGGTGTGGACTAAAGCCCCTGCCCTGGTCCAACATGACCTTTGAAGTAAACAACCCACGTAGTTCCTATGGTTTAGGTCATGATTTTGAAGCTCCTAGAGAGAACACAGACACCCCTTCACCCTTCCATTGGGAGTGAGGCTATCAGTCACAGCGAGACAGAAATACGGACAGTAGAAGAGGACAGAAGGAGAGAGGGAGAGGATAGTAAAGAACAATATTTGAGTAGAAGAAGTAGAGAACAATATTTGCTTAATGATATTTAATGATAAATGTCAAGAATTTAAAAGCCTTGTACTATAATGTTTTTAATCTTTACAATTTTAAACTCACTGTTTTTCAGGGCATACCCATGTATATCACCTATTTTTTGCAAAATGTTTTGCAAATGACATTTCATGTAAATTACATCTCAATAACATTCAAGTCAAAATGTCAAAGCAGTATCTCATTCTATTATTAAAGCCTATTGGCCTCAATGCATAGCAATGTCTTCTGTGGGTCATACCAAAGTCATCTGATGTCTTTAGAATTTTTTTCTATTTTCAACCAAATTTGTTATTTTCAATCTATTTGCAATTTACTTATTTAATTGTGCTCAAGATTTATTCTCAGCTTGAGTTTCAGTGGTAGTTAATATGAATAACTAAATCCAATGTCTAGTTGCTACAGGGCATATACTGTCATTGCAATGGCAATAGTTCAACAAATTTTCTTCTAACAAAAACTTAACCAACAGGAAACCTTTTCATGCCACTAGTCCAGAGAGCCAAAAAGCTTAATTTATTCTATGAAGTTTCAAACAGGCAACATTACACGCAGAAAACAGAGAAATATGTCACAGGGGCTTTAACAATAATACAACTTCCCAGTCATTCACCTATGCTTGTATCCAGAATTCAGATGATTTTTAGAAAGAAAGTTTTAAAGTCTTGAGTAATGATTTCTACTTTGAATGAAAGGATCCATGGATGATGCAGGTTCACAGGACACGATTGTTGCTTGTGTGTTACTGTCGCCATCTGGTGGTGAAAACAGACACTGTTGTAGCTGATAGCCAAAAAAAATAAATAAATAAATATGATTAGCAAAAAAAACTATTTTCTATTTAATACTGTAATTGAATGCATAAAACATAATATCTTGCTCTTCAGGATCAAACAAGGAGCACCTTACTCAAGTAAATATAATATCTAAGTAGAAGAAAAGAAATTTTGAAAATGTTAATCTAACATTAAATTAAATTTTTGACTTACCTTTTAAAATTAATTTGTATGCAGAAAACAATGCTTTACTTCAGCCTTTGGAAACAAAAAGGATCAAAATGCTTTTTTGTAGTTTTATCTCTTTTAAGCAGATATCATTTAATCACTGAATTCCATTCTATCCCTGAAAAACTCATACAAATTATTATCGTTATTTCAATTTTCATGCAAAGTTAAGAAGTAAAAAAAAATTTTTTCAGGTTCAACTGGCTTCAAAATGTTTTCTAAAATGCAATTAAATGTTACAAAGGATGACATTCTTGTCAAACTCAAAGTGTTAATTTCCTTCAAGTTAACTTCTCCATTTCTAATCGCAACTCAAAACTCATCTGTATAAGATTTGGTCGTTGTGTTTTTATCTTTTGTACGGTGACCTTGAGTGTCCAGAAAGGTGCCTTTTAAATAAAAGTTATTATTATTATTATACTGATCATAGTCTGAGATCAGCATCTTTTATCATTGTCTTATCATTGTGAACTCTTGACTATCTAGCCAAACTTAATACAACAGAGTACATGTGTCATTAATGGCAGGGTATCAACAGAAGATTTTCAAAATGAAGTCAGAAGGTCAAACCAAAAATTATCGTAAGGATGAAAAAAAAAAGTCTTTCTATTGAATTCTAAGATTAAATTTTGTTGCTTTTCTGTCTTCTTTTGTTTTTGCCTTTCAGATTATTTCAGATCTCATCCTTTGGTTTTTTCCTCTAATCTGGATGAGCTTAATCCTGGAGTTTCCGAATGGAGAGAAGACATTGGCAGAGTTGTGAAGACCTGCCTTGTTCAGGTTGGTTACTAACTAATGCTGAGGTATGTCCCTGTTAAGTGTTTACTCTATCATGACATTTTTTTCCCTTTTCTGCTTTTTTATTTTCTATTAATGTTTCAGAAGATTTGATTTTCAAATCTCAACAGTAACAGTGTGATTATCAATTCCTGCATTCTAATGTAGTAGAATATCCCAATTTACTAATTGTAAAGATTGCAAACCATCTGTTCACAGCATTGAGAACTTGTAAAGGTTGTTTCTCTTGTAAGAACATCCAAACCCACATGCAGTGTTACCCTAACTGCACTTAGGTTTTCTCTTCCAGACATTGCAGAGCAGGTTATATAAAAGACTTGGATACTCTGCTCTATATATATCCTAGAGTCGCCCTCAGTATGAAACATTCACTTTGACCTTCTGTCCTGTCAGATTGTACCATGCTCTACACCAGGAAACTGACAGTAGACCTCTGGTTATGGCATAAATGTACTAAAAGCCCTGGCCTATACCAAAGACTGTCAGAATGAGCTTCCATGTTCCACTAGATCCAAAAGTTTTATTCTGACAGTTTCTAGTATATTGGCAAACGATGTATGAAACAGAACACATCTCTGTAATACAGGCGACTCCCATTCCTCCTGTCATTTTTATGAATCTGAATTACAGTCTTCCAACCTCAAACTGTGCCAATTAAAGAGCTTACTGACAATGTTTTGTTTGTGTAATTTAAAGGTCACAGGGATCAGTGAGGATCAGATCCTGGTCACAGTGCTTGCAGGTTTGCCAACTACAGCCGAGGTTTTCATTGTACCAGAGAGGAGGACAAGAGACAGAGCCATGGACGAAAAGTGGGCACACCTGGATCAGGTACTGTCTTAAATTAGGGTTAAGGGTTAAGACCTGGTAAATAACATGGTTTGCCAAGAGGTTCAAGACAGTCAGACAGAAACTCACACTTTTTACAAAGCTCTTTTTATTGTTTTGTTTTTTGTTGCTGTTTTAATGAAACCAAATTAGACAGTTTACCAGCAAATTCACCATGTTAAACATCATGCTGAAGTATTTCAATATGATTCAAGTGCACACTACACAAAAAGGTTGGGAGTTTTTCTTAGTTTTCTGAAATGTAATTCAATTCAGTTTATTTATATAGCGCCAATTTACAACACGTCATCTCAAGGCACTTTACAGTTCACCAGGTCGTACAGTCAAAGTGATTCAAAGTTTTCTATCTAAGGAAAACCAGTTGATTGCATGGACTCATTGAATCGAAGGTAACCCCATACACTAAGAGAGAGAAAAACTCCCTTGTAAAATGAAGAAACCTCCCGCAGAACCAGACTCAGTGTGAGCAGCCATCTGCTGAGGCCGACTGGAGTTCAAGGAGAAAGAAGCAGAGATACAAATGGAAACTGTAAACCAGCTTCACAGGCGGCCCCGTCCAGGAAACACACAGCCAGGCAGACAAGCTTCGAGTCAACTCCCATGTCAGAGGACGAAGAGACCAAATCCAGTCAGTCACAGTGAGAGAAACAGGACTACACTGAAAAATAGGCTATGCTACACTTTTCGTAGAGCTGAATGTATTAGCTCTGATGTATATCTCAAGAATATTGGACCTTAAATAATGACCAGACATTCTATTAGAATTCTCTGGTAGGAAAGTTTTAGCAAGTCCTCTAGATGTTTTTTATTTTTGACATAACAAGAGACGCACCTTCCAAAGTGCCCTTTTAGACAATTAAATAGTTGCCAAGAAGTCTCTCATGGATGTTATTCTTGCCAAGTCTTTTTTTATTTCTGCATTATGAGCGCTAACCTTCACTGAGGCAAGTGATAGCTTTAGCTAAGATTTGTTTTTGGTTATTCGGAGACCTTCTGGATGGGTCATGTAAAGGTTCCGTGCTGTTCTGTGTTTTCTCCATTGTGGATAATGACTTTCACTGTGGTTTCCTGAAGGCCCAAAGCCTTAAAAATGTCTTTCTAACCCTTTTCTGTTCATTTTTTGAGGAATGATGTGTTGGTTGTTTAGATTTTTTCCTTTTGTAATTACAGTATGCTGGACTTTCCCTTAAAATACCACGATTTAATGAGAATGGCTGATATATTTTATTTTTTCGTCACACCAGTGTGGATTTTTGATATAATTTTTCCAATTAAATAAGTGCATTATTTGAAAACATCTTGTTGACTTTGGTTAGGTTAGCTTCTCTTAATAACATGGATGGTCTGGAACATTGAGATAATCAAGGTTAGAACAGGGTTTTTCAATTTGAGTCAAGTTGAAGCAAACATTGAACCATTCCAGGATCAGCATGCATATTCATCTTTATTTACAGATATATAAATATTCAGCTTCAACAAAATAAACTAAAATACTGTATGGTTCCACCTGTCAAGAGTTTCCAATATAATCCACCTCACTACTTTAAATAGGGGCATTCTTCTGGTCCTGTTGGCAGGGCTTCTGGATCAGATTTGTTCTGGAGTATATAGATGACACTTGATCAGATATGAAATGAAAAGGCAGCACCTTTGGCCCATTGTTATATTCTAGGAGATATTCCTGGAGCAGGCTTTTACCATATTGCCATATTTCTGTTCCTGCTGTGGAGAACTTTGTTAGGCGTTCCTGCTGCAGTACTTTTTACCTTTTCTCTAAGTTGTATGTGTCTATAAAATTAACCTGAAAATAATTTACAAATGTTTGGCAGAGCATTGCTTAACTATGACAGAAGATGATTTAGATCTCTGTCTAATAACAGGTATGTGAGAAATACATCTATCTGTGTGATCAGGAGCAAACACTTGCTTTTGTAGATTAAATTGCTACTCCTAAATGGCATGAATTTTAGCCAAGCTTTTAAAAATGTATGTGATTATGGGGCTGCAGTAGATCAATGATAATTGGTTATATAATCATTGTTTAGTGGGTTTTCAACTGCAACATGTGTTGCCTATTGCCTTGCAACCGTAAGGTTAAGTTTGACAAATATAAATGTAGGCATAATACTCATTGTGATCGATCACCTGAAGCAACCAAGCTTCAAGTCTCAGCGTTTGTGTTTTTTTTAAAAAACCAGAATAATGTGAATAGATGCTACCACACTGGAAAAGAATCTGTCATGTCTTGCCTCAGAAAAGGTCAGCTGTAATGAGCTCTAGACATTTTTTGCAGTAATTGGGCTAAAACATGCAAACATTCTCTGCTGTGGTCCATCAAGTTTTCATGCAGAGAGCAGGAGAGCATTATTGATAGGCTCATTGTTCTCTTCAAGCAGGAACATCCCTCTGGTCTCAGAAAGTTTCTTAGCTCAGTCTTTACTTTCGTGATGTTTTTATGTAATAATGAGTCTGGAAGGTGTCATAAGGATACTTTTCTTTTCTTTGTGTACTTTGTTTCAAAGTGCCAAAGAATTTACAGTGTAATACATCCTACCTGTATTCCATCCCTCTGTGAAATGAAATGCTTTAAATAGACACTAGAGGGCAATGACATCCTTTATATAAAAAAAAAAGGATCCCCCACTCAAATGGCAGCCATTTGACAACCTGATGTTTTTGAACTTTTTTAGGAGCATTTTAACAACATTAATTAAAAAATATTCAACCTTATTGTGATTTTCGTAACCTTATTCTAATGGCAAATAAAAACATCCACTTATTTGAAAGGTATCAAACACTAAGCCAAATTAATATAGCTTTTATTTATTTATTTATTTAAGCGCAGCACAGGCAGACTCATTTATTCATTGTGAGTAAACATAATTTTGCTGGCTCACAGTCAGTCTTGAACTAAGTTAATAGGTATTTAATTACATTGATGCATCATATAATTGGCACCATCGAGAAGGGAGACAAACTGGGGCAGGCTGCTGGGACTGGGAATTAAAGAGATGTATTTATCTAAAGCCTGTCTGATTACCTGGCAGAACCTCACAGACAATAGGGTAATAAATCTTCAGTTCACTGTTCTCTCATCTCCAGTGAAAGACTTTCAGCGTAGAGGCATTAAGTGAGCAAGTGCCCACACATGCACACATGTGCGCAACGAGTATGCGTGGAGCGGGCTTATTAAAATGTGTAATAGATTTACTGACCCTGATATGCCACTAGAACAAAAAGTAATTATTCATGCTGTGTAGAGCAGTCTAATTTTAACCAGTGGAAAGATTTGAGAAAGAGTGAGATGGAATTAGCGAGGCATGGCTAAGGACTCAAATATGCATTGGGAAGGCTTTTTGGTCTCCTGTTAAATGACTGTTTCATCAAGGTGTGAAAAGCTGAGCAACTATTGGCACTTAAGGGAAAAGAAATTAAAACAGCAATTTTATGATATTAGTACATAGTTTGATTTCCTATAACGCCGCCTCGTTGAAGTTTTAAGTGGGTAATTCTCATTCTCTTTAGAATAGTTATGCTGATGAAGGTATAGGCGAAATATTCCCTGAGTGGGAGTCATAGCAAAATGATTAATATTTCTTTAAATGTCAAAGCAGGATGCCTCCTGCCTAATAGTCCTTAAATTCTGTTGGGTTTTCCCATGGCAGGTAGGGTTTTCAATATGTCACTTAAAGATTTTTCCCTCTTTAGAAGGAAACAAAAATTCCCCTACATAATTATGCTGTTAGTGGAAATGACCGACGGTAAAATATTGATGTATGGATTATTGGTGGACGGCTGCAGCTAACACATACCTGACTGCTCCTGTTTCATTTCTTGTAGCTTTCACAAGTTCTGCTGAGCGCTCTTAACCAGGATCTTATCAAGTTTACATTGAAACCTGGACTTGAGGTGAATGTGTATGCCACCCGGCTGTCTCCCGGTGAGTCTCTGAATTCCCTCCCAAACCCAGTAGTTCCTATTTTTGCCTTTTTTCAGTCCAGTTTGGAAAGTCATGTCTGACTCTCTTTGATAAAACAGGAAAAGAAAATACAGTCAAGATGGCGCTGTCTGTTGCTACTCTAATGTATAACCTGTTCTCTGCAGAAATATAGCTGTTTATCACATCAATAGTCCTGACACTGAATTTCACATGTTTATTGTTTTGTATTTATATGGATTCAGCTAAATAAATGAAAAGAAGTTGATAAGAAGTTGATAAGTTGATAAGAAATTCAAAGTGAATTTCTTATAATTTTTTCTTACATGTGTTTTTTTTTTTGGCTAAAAAACTTCATGGTAAATGGTGTTGTACTTATGAGCGCCTTTTCAAGTTAGGGACTCCAAAGCACTTTTACAACATTCAGACATTCACACACTGATGTTGGCAAGCTATGCTGTAGCCACAGCTGCCCTCGGGACAGAAGCACTGTCCCCTCTGCTTCATCTGCCACAGGGTGTCTTGAATCTCTGCAAGATGCAATGAAATCTCAAGATTATCAAGGGATTCTAGAAAGAAATGTGCTGCGCAGTGTCAGAAACATTGGTCTTTGTCACAGATCATGGGTGTTGCAGCAGGATAATGACCAAAAACACAGCTAAAAACTCCCCAAAATGGCTAAAAGGGAAAACACTGGACTATTCTGAAGTATCCCTCTATGAGCCCTAATCTAAATCACATTGAAGACCTTTGGAAGGAACTGAAACATGCTGCTGTGGAAGACACCTTTCAAACCTGACACAGCTGGATCAGTTTAATAACGAGGAGTGGAATTAGGAGTGGACCTGCTCTGATCCCAGTATCAGTTCATGCTTCGACACAGTAAAGGAAGAGCTCTCCACTAGCACTCCTTTCAAGTTGTATAAAAGATCTCAACAAGATCTAATACCATTCTCAGAGTTTCTCAACTTGTGTGTCTCTTTGTGATCTGAGACAGAGAAGTCAGAGAGCTCTCTCTATGAACTCAGTCTACTCTCATCCCACCTTCGGTTCATGTTCCGACAGAGCTAAGAAAAGAGCCATACACAAGCACTCCTTTCAAGCTGTAGAAAGGATCTCAACAAGATCTTTCTTATCATTCTCAGACCTTCTCAAATTCATTTTTCTTTGTGAGCTGACAGAGAACAATCAAAGAACTCTCTCTATGTAATCAGTTTAGTGTCATCAAAGCTTCAGTATCCTTTTTGGAGAACATTAAACACAACATTCCTAGAATTGACTTCACATTAAAAAATATTATGCGACTCTGAAAGACAGATAGAATTACAACTTCCTGTAAAACAAATGTCAGTAAGCAAATCACCTGGTCAAGATGGTTTGACTGCCAATTTTCCTAAGTTTCTGGGAAGACTTAAAATAATTACTATTCAAAGCCATAAAAGAATGTATTAAAAATGATAATTTATTGCCAACTATGAAACAAGGAGTCATTATATGGTAAATTACCTTTACTTATGTAGCACCTTTTCAAGTCAGGAGACTTGACCAAAGCACTTTACTCTACATTCAGTCATTCACCCATTCACACACACACTCACACAGTGATGGTGGCAAGCTACATTGTAGCCATAGCTGCCCTGGGGCTCACTGACAGCGCCACCAGGCCCTCTGACCAAGATCAGTAGCCCAAGGGGGCTGAAAGCTGGAGCAGGGGCTTCAACCGTCAATCCTTTGATTTCAGGGCAAACTCATACTCCCGACGCCACTGTCGCCCTGCTATTATAGCAACCAGGATTCATTAAGGATTGGTCTATACACAACAATATTACAGTAGGTTGGTTTTTGACTGTATATAATTGATTTGTTGAAGATAAATGCTTTGTTTTATTTTTAGATTTAGATTTATTTTAGATTTCTATTATTATTGTTCAGTCTTTCTCTCTCAAGGAACAACCAGAAGACTTGAAATGGAACGGGGAATCCGACAGGGTTGCCCCTGCTCTCATTTATTATTTATTTTAACTGCAGAATCATTGACTGTTTTTCCTAAGAATAGCCATTGAGCCATTTAAGTATTTGGTTATCCTCTGATAATAACTCAGCATGATGAATATACCACAATTTTTCTGAAAGATGAAAAACAAATCCCCTTAGTTATAAAGATAAAGATCAAAAGTTTTTCGAGAGCCTCTAGATTATACACTCATTTGTAAGTTAATGTTAATACAGGATTATCAATAAAACACCTTATATTGGATTCCAGTGAAAGAAGAAATAGCATATTTAGGCATGACCATAACAAAGGATTATAAGGCAAAAGAAAAATGTTTCTCAATATTTTGCCGGTCATATAGAAAAGTAAATGCATTCTTAACTGCTGTCTACAAAGAGATAAGTCCATTTGGATGCACTCTCTCGATTTAGATATCCAGCTTTTTCTTTCACTATCGCTAGTTGGGGTGTCAGTGGCGTTGGATGAGTTTGACCTGCAACTGGAAGGTTGTGCCCAGACTCTGGCTTTAATTATCATTGTGTCTTTGGGCAAGTGACTCAAGTGAGTTACTGTATGTGAAAAAAAACAATGGTAGTTAGAGGGCCCGGTACAGCAGCTGTGTACAGCAGCTTCGCTTCTGTCAGTGAGCAATGTGACTTGCCATAATAGTGTGTGTGAATGTATAAATTCAGGTTTTGCAAGGTATCTCCTTTATATCTCAACTATGACTCCCAACTTATCTCTCCTGGTCAATTTTAGGGAAAAATGTGAGAAACATTTGAGACAAACTAGAAACTAAAATGAGGCTGATATAAGAAACTCAAATAGGCTTTATGAGCTATAGAAGAGTAAACTTTGAGCAGTATCATTTCCTCTAGGTTCATATGGATTGAAAAAATTGTACTTTTAGTCTTAATTCATGATAAATATTTCATATCCTAGCCAAATTTTTCCAGCTCATATAACTAATTTTCTCATTCATTCTCTTTAAAGCTCCTCTTGTGGATGGCAGTGACAGCGGGCACAGCGGCACTGCAGTCATCATGCTGGTCTCAGTGGTGCTAATGGCTTTGGCAATCTTTGTGATATATAAATTGAAAAGGTACAATCTATTGGATAAGGTAGATATCGTACAGAGTTCCGAGATGTTCTTTGCAAAAAAAATCAAAATGAATTCTACTGGATATCAAACATGAAACGAAAGCTAATTCATATTCAAATGTTATTATGCTTTGCTTCTGTTTAGACAATCGACAGTTTGTGAGTTTCCTTCATTTCCCATAAAAGCACTTCTCACCTCTGAACCACCTGAAACTTTCTATATGTACTCACACTCCATATATCCCCAAGTTATGGCACAATATTGGCTGGAGGAATAAGACAATTCCCCTCTGTCTCAATCTGCGGAATATTACAGGGAATGACAGTCTAATCAATTCTCCCAGAGTGCTGAATGGGTGTCAGAGTCCTGCAGTTATCAATATTCATCTATCTGACAATGTGAGGGTTGACCTTTTGGAAATGCTAAACACAGCCATTCAAGGTGAGGCATACTCTGTAGAATGGCAGGAAAGGTTGAGGAGATAAGCCTGAGACAACATACATTATACAGTGAGAGACATACAGTAAATAGCATCCTCTGCTGCAAGAAATCCCATGCCATTCAAGGGAGAATGATCCTGCTCCGCTGCAGTGTTGCTCATTATAAAGTAAAACATTATTTAACTTCAACTTTCAAGATTCTAATTGCTATGATAGGAAATCATATTTGAATTTCTTAAGCTCCCCCCCCCCCCCCCCCCCCCCCAAATGTCACAGTTCCAGCTGCAGCACAAGCTCACGAGGGAGAAATCCGAAATTAGAAATGCAAGAAGTTAGTTTTAGGAAGAACTGGGGATGCATCAGAGGGGATGAAAAATTGATTGAAAACTGAGGTGAACAACATGAAAGAGAGGGAGTGTTGCCCAGTGGAATGCAAAATGCCCTAGATTCCAGCTATCAAACAATCCTCCGCCATCTTTAACAGTTAAAAATAGTGTGTGACACATTATGCCTAGTGAAAGCATTAATGGAAGCAGATATGATGGTATATTTCCATTAGTGTAACTTTTTTTCCTCTTTCTGTAAACCTCTTCCTTTCTGCACGGCCTACAGAAAGATCCCAGGCATGCACACTTACAGCACAGAGCAGCCTGACAAAGAACAAGAGGTCATCCCTGCGGTGACCTCCATAGCTGTCCCAAACCCTGAGGGGGATGAGCTGACCTCACTGGATCATGTGGATTTACAACTGGATTCAAAAAGCAGAGGTATCAATGCTTATGTTTCCTATTTTTAGAAGATTTTTTTTTTAACCTATTGCACTAGTGTAGTTTTATCCCACAAGTTCCAGAGAGACTATAATGTGGGTGTACTTGGTATTAAAGTTGTATGTTTATCTTTTTGTATTGATGAGGGTGAATGGTTACTTATATGATATTCATTAGGTTTTCAACTTTTTCTCAGAAATAAAACACACAAAAAAGTCTAACTTTCTGTCTGTTTTGAGGCCAGTTTAAATTACCAGCTTGACAAAATTAAAGATGCTTTTATTGCTGTTATGATTTACTGTGGAGACTGTGCAAACTGGTTGATTCGTATTTTAGACTTAGGAAAATGGCAGCCTAATATTGATTTTTACTACAGATATTATTTAGTTCGTTAAGAAATTCATAAATTTTTCTCATTTTAATGTTTTTTTCTCTCTTATAAAGTTTCTTTAAGAAGTCTAAATCCCCCTTTGACAATATGTTCACAGTTCGTATTAAAATCTGTATATTTAGACTGAAAATCAGGGTTTTTACATTTTTAAATTCATCATATAAAGCATTACTTAAAAATAAACAAAAATAGCTACCATTACCTGGAAGCATAAGAGTTGGGTTAACCAAGAGGACTTTTATTTAATTTTATTATCCTCTTTCGTTAGTCCATCATGATGTCACAAAGACTAGATCAATTTGCCCCTTTAAGTTGGAATTGTAAAGCCTGCCAGTTTTTTTTTGTGTCAGATTTAGTTCTGGGTTAGGCTTAATTGGTGGCAATCTCTTTTTTCTCTGTTTGTGAATGTATTTTTTTTTTGCCTATCCTGACTCAAAGAAAGTAAGGCCCCGTCCACATGAAGTCAAAACGAACATGAAACGCTAATATTTAAAGACGGAGACGTAAAATAAATGTGATCGTCCACACGAATGCATGAAAACGCTGCAAAATGTATGCCAGGCCTGTAAGTCGCGCTGTGGGGCCAAAGCAAAAATAGGCGACTAAATGTTGGGCATGCGCACTAATATTTATACATGGTTGCCCTGCGGGTCCATTTTCGTGGTTCAGTCAAATTCAGGTGCTGAACTATGTCGTCGATATTGCTCTGTTCTTCCTGGAGATATTCCAGAAGAAGAAGATTCTGTTGTAAGCCCGACAGCAGGGTGAGTAGCATTAGCAGCAACCATTCAACACAGTACAGCGCCATTGTTGTTGTGATACTGTGTCGCACATGCGTGTTTAGAGGCGACGCTATGACGCCTGCGTGTAAAAAAAAAAATGCGGTTAGAGCTTAAAGACGGAAACGCGAAAACGCCGTTTCGAAATCTTCCCACTCTGAAGGCTGAATAAAAAAAAGATTGTTTACAGACCCCCGAAACGCCGGCTTCGTATTGATGAGAGGCTGGTTTGGTGAAAAATTTGTGCGTTTAGGCCAGGGTTTGGCTTCGTGTGGACGGGGCCTAAGTTTCCACTGCCATGTTTCATCTTAAGTATGATATTTTTTTGGTAATGCCTCCCCCATCAAGATTGTATCCCAAATTTTCAAGTTTAGTTTTATCCAATGAAAACAAACGGTCCCACAAGCATTTAGCCTGGGTGTTTACTTTCGAAGGAAAACTTTCCTGTCTTTCAGCCCAACTTCTTAGTCCAGACATACGGATGTAGAAAAGAGAGGAGTAGCATATTGAAAATAACCAGCACTTGATGGGAAATGCTACTGAAGCTCCTTTAGTGTTACTGTTTGATTCTTAGCAGTTTCTGTCCATATTGGAAGAAAAAAAAATCAGTTTGTGTCTTTGCAAATTAACAATTTGTAATAGCTTTTGTGGTCTTTTCTTGACTAAAACCTTTGAACACGAGATTATGTTGATTCTTTGCAATCTTTTTGCAAACTAAGGCTTTTGCTGAAAGATCCAAATGAAAAAACCTTGTAGAAAAGCTAAACTTTATTTCCAATTCTTAGATTCCCTATAATTTATTGCAGGTATAAACTAAAGCTTATCAGATGCTGAAAGTGAATCAAAATGTGCTTCCACATGGTAATCTTTATATGTTTGCTAATTTCAGCAACCAGAATATTACACGTTTATATTTTCTTTTTCTATTTATTCAAAACAAAATTATTGTTTTCTATATAAATGTCAAATTACACTTGCTTGGGTATAATTTATTACTATCTCTTCTTTGAAATGGGTAACAATAAATTACCTCATTATTACAACATAAAGTAAGTCATGAAACTAACATATCATCTAGATTTGTGACATGCATGATATACTTCCAGCATTTATTAAACAGTAAAAAAGAAAATCTGAACACTAAAATCCCACTAGCCTACACGAAAGATCTGGTTAAACAAGAGACATTCACCACATGGATGTTCAGCGATCCATGGCTGACCATCCTTGTGCTTAGCATTAGCATTCCTTGTGCTAAGCTACTCCTAAATAAAGAGCAACATCAGAAGTGTTACACCTGAGAAAAGGGAGTTAGATACTTGCTTAAATTCTCTTTAATATAAAAACAGAGCATAAAGAGAAATTCAAAGTGATGCTTGTGCTGCCAATCCTCTTGGAGATTTAATTGGAGCTTTAATTTTCCAGCAGGGTTTAGCACCTGGCCACAGTGAAAATATACCATTACCTGGTTAATGACAATGCAGTGCTTGACTCTTCTGACATAAACCTTATTCAGAATCTTCAAAATATGTTAAGAGAAAGATGAGATACACCAGAGCTACTAAGTCAGAAAACCTGAAAGACACTGTTAAGATAAACTTGGCTTCCCTTATCAGAGCCAGAGTTGTGTTGCCTCTATGTCACATAGAATAATTTAAGTATGTAAAGCAAAAAAAAAAAAAAAAGGGTGAGTAACATACTGTGCCGTAAATAACTGATAGGTCAAGATTTGAATCTCAAATATCTTTTTAATTTTAATCACTGGGCTTCCATATTACTCAAATTTCTGACAAAACGAATTTTGGCATCCATTTACTGAATGCAATTGATAAGATTGATAACAAACAAAAAAAAATCACTTTAGGTTTAATTCGTTCATGATACACACATTTACTGTCTGAATGGAATTACTAAAATAACTATTTTAAAATAAGCAATAGTGATTAAGTTGTTTGTGATTGGTCAGACAAGATGAAATAAAGCTTTTTCAAATATTTTTAGCTACTGTTGTTCACTGGATACCTCGGAATGCATTTAATATTTAATTGTTGAATTTGACAACGTCTGCAAAATGAGCCAAAAACCTGACGCACAATGTTGCAGTATTTTTTTATAACCCTATAGTGCTGTGTAAGCCTTCATATAGGGAAGAATTGTGACCACAAGCTGAAGCTTACTGAAGGCAAAGAGGGATTCACTTAATTTAAGTGCTGATGCCTCTTTTACCCCTCCACCCTATCCCCCTCTGTCATACGAGTTGGCAAGATGCAACATTTATTATGCGCTGTATATTTATGTATATGCCATCCTGAGTTTGTCACATGGAGGTATTGGTATACACAGGTAAGTGAAGCACAATCAAGTGGCAGCTTAAGTGATGAGAACGTCCAGGTGAATTATTTGATCCAATAAAATAATTAGTGCATCGGAAAGGCAGCAGAGTGGTGAAAGCATTTTCATCAAGCAATATCTATGAGGTTCCAGCTGATTTACCCCTTCCCATACCTACAGTAAACAATCGCCCCATCCAAGATGAATGTGTTTGCTTGCAAAAATACACCCTTATGCAAATACCAACATAAAATCGTTCCCCTGTCTCTTCTCTTTCTTCTGCCTCGCCAGGCTACCTGCCATCTCACACAGACATCAAGCTCTCTGATGAAGCGCCCCATGTGTTTTAATGTTGGAAGTCTATGACCGACTCGAAAGCAATACATCTTCTTTGGCAGTTACTTCCAGCAAGCTAGGAAGCTGCGGTCACAATGAATGGTCTCGAGTCTTTTGCTACCCATGCATGGATGGACCAGTTCACACTGTGCTGCCTAAATCCCTCCAAGGAGACTGTACAGATTTTTACTTGCCTCTTGAAAAGGAACAGTTTTTGACTGAAAAAACTTGTATTTTTGCAAGGACGCTGATCTTTTTATGTAAATATTGTACATCCATAATGGAAGACGTGAAGGTTATTTGTCTCAGCCACTTACAGCTGCATCTGTTGAAATATGAAAACATCAAACAGCAGTATATATAAAACAGTCATATATATATATATATATATATATATATATATATATATATATATATATATATATATATATATATATATATATATATATATATATATATATATATATATATATATATATATATATATATATATATATATATAAATAAACCACACACAATATTTGCGTGTGCATTCCCTTTCTTTCGCATTTTTGGACTTATGTTCATGAAGTTTACTTTTTCTGCAGATGCATTGAACAGGCTTATCTGAGTAAGACAGTGAGGGAACCAGATTCATTAAGCTCTCTGTAATCAGTAAATCTTATCACCAGATTCTCATCCAATGAAAGCTTGCAATATCCAGGAGATGATGGAGGGCTCCCAAGCCTGGATCTGTGTATTCCATCAAGCCTGTCTCTCTGCTGCTCACAATGTTATATATGACATAGCAAAAAAAAAAAAAAAAAAAAAAGAACAGAAGATTATAGCAGATAGGTATACACAGAAGATGAGATTCTAGGCAGTCCCTCTTGTTTAGAAGACTAAAATAAGTCATTTCAGAAACTGTGAAATATCTAGGATCTGAAACCAACTGATCTTAACTGTTCAAATGATTAATTACCCCAACAAAAATGCTCCAATCGATTTAACATGGTCATGCCAATTGTAAATTTCATATTTGTTTCTTTGTGCTTTTCTTGTGACTACTGGTTTGTACTTAGAGCAATCTGTAAATTTATTGAATCATTTAATTGTGAGAAAATTATATTAACTAAGAACCAGCAAAAAATAGAATAGAAAAGTTCCCTCTTGGTGTTTTAATTAGTCATTCAATCAAAGTTTATTTGCTTTGAAAGAATCCTTGACACACTTGGTAAATTTTGCTTTGAACTGATGTTACTGTGAAGGTTGGTTGTGTCGTTTAAACATTTGCACTACACTTTTCTTATTTTTCTATTTTTGTTGGGCTTAAAACTCTATTTATTTCGGACTGACTCTCCGCCAGTGCCAGCAGTTATATGCACCATCTCCCAAGTTTCCAGCAATGCAAAGGTAACCGCAGTGTGTTCTAGGTTTGCCCCCAAGGACTCGGTGGACAAAAGGCTGCAGATTTGTTCATCTCCTGCGCTGCGAGGGACACGGAGATAGAGAAGACGTATCTCCTGTCAACGCAGCTCAGCCCACGCACACGGCTTCGGTCAGTTGCTGTCTCTTTGGGATATGTACTGAGGTTCTTCTTCATCAAACTTTCTTTTTAAGTGTTGTCAGCATCATATGTCAGTAAGACAAATTGACTGGAGGCTTCTCCATACTTCTTCCTAGCAATCCCCTGATTGAGCCAGAAGCATAAATAAACACAAGCCCCAAAGAACTCTTCACACAGCTGTTCAAAGACCTTTCTTTTTGGTATTTATTAAATGAAATTCATCATCTTTCAGTTCTGGTTATTAAGATGTGAATACCATGATGAATAAATATGCATGGTAATTTGTTTATTTTTGATCTACTTGAAATATGTCTTAACTTACAAAAAATGTATTCAAAATGTGAATTTAAGTATTTTTTTTAGATGCTAGATACTTATGTATTATAGGTGAAGTGATTATTCAGTGGGTTGTTACAGTGTTTTTTTGTTTTATCTTGCAGAGGTAACCATGGTTGCAGAATAAAGCAAAAACACAACAGCAGTGCAGTGTGTGTGTTTGCTGAATTATTATCCAAAAAAACTATTTATTTTGATGTTCAAAATTATCTACATTTTTATTTTTATCGACATGTTTCCTCCACTTTTTTATATATATTATTATATATATATATATATTAAAAAGTCATTTTAAACATATGTGGTGGAGGGGTATCAGTGCCCAGAGGCTATGATGTTGTCTGAGAATGAAATGCCCCTGGTAGGGTCTCCCAAGACAGTGGAGCCAGGACCTTTGTTCCCTTGGTACTGGGCTAGGTGCTTCAGTGGGTGCTGTCTCATTACTGGTGACTCCTGGGCTGGGCCATGGACATCCTGGCCCTGTGGGGTCGTTTATCTTGTGGCAAATGTCACGCCATATGACTACTGTGAGAGTTTTTAAGTTTAAATTCTTTTACAATATTATTGTATTAGGTTTTGTTGCATTGATTAAATTATAGAAACACAATAAAGAATGAAGAGGATCTGGGGGGAAAAATGGAAGAAAGTTCACATACTTGCATAATACACTACTGTTTATGCTCTAAAAACATTCCAAATGACTTCTTTTCAAGTAAATTATGGATGCTACCCACTCAGGACAAGCAGTATGCAGGAATATTGACACGTTTTTTGTGGACTTTTATGGACCTTTCTGCCTCGGGCACCATAGACCTCCATTATTTGAATGTCAGCAGACAGCAAGAAGCCTCCTAGATCTCCAGATGCATTTGAGATATCAAAAAAGTACTCCAGAGTGTTGTTCAGCATGGGGGTGAGTAGAAAATGAAGGCTAATCATGTTTTGGGTGTACTATTCCTTTAAATCTATCTCTGAGCTTCTCTAAATTATCCAGAAGTACTGCTGTCGCACATTTACTCTCACTCCCAACTTGGTGGCCAGTTGCGTGGTATGAGGCCTTAGTATCACTTGGAAGGGTGTTGGAATGTGCCCCTCTCAGGGATTCTTTCATTTTTCTGGTGGACTCAATTGCCCATGTGGGTAATGAGAGCAATACCTGGAGGGGCATGACCTACAGGAACCAGTAGGACTTTTTGTGTAAGCCCCGGTTTGTTCAAGCATAAGAATGTCCATCTGGTGCCAGTACTTGGCACCAGGACACCTTCCCAACCTTCTTTGACACTCAGGTACAGAGAGGTGCGGAGCTGTCCACAGATCACTGCCTGGTGGTGAATTGGATACACTGAAAGAGGAGGAAGCTGGAAAGACTCAGCAGACTCAAGTCAGTTGTAAGGGTCTGCTGGGAACATCTGGCGGAGCCCTTGGACAGGGATGTGTTCAACTCCTACTCCTGGGAGAGCTTCTCTTAGAATCCGAGAGAGGCTGGGGGCATGGAGTCTGGATCAGTCAGCCTTAAAGCGAATGTGGCACCAACAGAGGGGGAAGCGGTTCTTTGCAAATGCTGTTTTTAGTGAAACATGTGGAGCTGCTGACCTCAAAAAAAAAAGGGAGGATCTCCTCAGCCTGGCTTATATGGCTTCCGCAGTGGGCGTGCTTGCTTATTACCCAGTCTAGATAACAGAGGTCATCAAAAACATTAATAGCAGCAAGGTTTCAGGGTTGGATGAGCCCTGAATACCTTAGGGATCTGGATGTTGCCAGGCTGTTGTGGCTAAACCACCTCTTCAACACTGTGTGGGGCTCATGGACAGTGGCCATGGACTGGCAAAATGGAGTGGTGTTTGCACTCCATAAGAAGGGGGAACAGAATATCTGTTCTGACCCTCAGCCTCCAGCGGAAGGCCGTTGCCAGGATGTTGGAGGGAAAATCAGGCTGATTGTTGAACCTGGCTTCGCTATTGTAAAGGAAGACTCTGTGTTTATACTTTGAAGCTTTCGCTCTCTCGTTCTTCTTGAAGAGATCCCTCAGGATAAACTCTTTAAGTAACACTTCATAATGTATATGTATTTATAACCATGAGACACCAGCTTTTGAGAGAAACTACAATCTTATTTAGACTAGAGAAGTTGATTTGAGTTACAGAAGGCAGCTGCTTACCAACCGGGTTCGCTTCTTGTTGAAGTGACCATGAATAACAGCTGAAGTAGCATTTTATACAACGCTAGTATGCCATATCATTGCATCATTACATCATACACATCTGTAAATTAGGAGACATCCATGGCTCTAGCCTTATCAAAATATTACACTGCTTTTAGATGAAGGACACTGCTCTGATTCCATTTCCAAATATTTGCCACGTAGATACTGCAGGTAAATTTTTATCCTGACAGAGGAGCTGTCCTAATTAGATAAATTACTTTGGTTATCTTAAAAAATACTTGGTCAGATCCACATCTGGAAGAGGCAACTGTGATGGCTCTTTTTTACATGCAACCAGAATACACTGGAGGGACCATGTCTCTCGGCTGGCTTCAAGGTGCCTAGGGTTTCTCCTTGCAGAGCTGGAGGGGATCTCTGAGGAAAGGGATGTCTTTGGGTCTCTGCTGAGACTGCTGTGACCTGGTCCCGGATAAGTGGAAGATAATGGAAGATATACTGACTCGCCTGAAAAAAATCCAGTGCAACTGATTGCCTTTGGATTTCACCAAATAAGGAAAGCAAAGCTCACCTTTTTTAATCTTTGTAAATACAGATATTCTGTGTATGACATTAAAGCAGAGTTCAGCAATGAACCAATTTAACCCATAAAACTCTTACAAAATGCATTGAAGTTGAATGTAAAATGTCAAAAGAAAAATAAGTGTGAAGCCTTTTTTCAGAGAGCCTGTTGCCTAACTGTGTTTGAAACTGGTGGTTTTGACCCCACGTTCTTCCTTTGTTGGTTTTGATGTTGTTTGGTGCTTTTCCTTTAATAAGTGCTTTGCATGCCCTAAGTTTCGCTGCAGCCATTTTCTTGTTACAAAGGGACAGAGTGGGAGGACAATAAATAGTGCAGAATATCCTGGAGTGATTCTAATTGGCTGGTTCCTTGGCTCTCCCACTGTGCAACAAATTAATTATCCCCTCTCCTGGAAATCAACACGCACCCAGTCAACAAAGAAGATTTTCCTACTCTGGATGGCACCTTGAATGAAAAATGTCCCTCAACAATAACCCACAGCAATATTGTGTTAGCCACAGTGTGAAATTGATGAGCATGTTTCCTTTCATTGAGTGCTACATTACAGTGTCTGGCTGCAGCGAATCATCCATTAGTGATTGTCACCATTCAATTTGATTGTGCACCACGGAACATCCCAGGGCGGTTAGAGAGAAGCCTTGGTGTTAATTCAGACTGAGAGCACAGGCGAGAATAAGACTCTTGGGGCGTTGATGGCTGTTTGAGTGATGAAGATTGGTGTATGTGTGTGAGATACGTAGTTGTTCAAGTAGCACGCAAAATGCAAAGCAGAAGCTGGGCCAGTTTTGCAGCTGCCTTGAGTGTGAAGCATTCATCCTCCAATCTGGTGGTTTGTTACATTGTAATGTATAGAGGTTCTCTTCCTGGAAGAAAGAACATATCCCACAGTAATGCCCATAGTTCTTCTTAACCAAATCATCAGTTTCTCATTGCAGTCCACAGCCTTGTAATTGTTCCCATTAAAGCAGGAACCATCTGTAACGGGCTAACTGTGCGAAAAAAGGAGAAGTGGAGCTCAGTCTAAATGTCAGATGGGAATCTTCACATGGCTGTTATCACACCTTTCCCCATTAAAGCTGACTTTAGACTCTCTGTAAGATCATTAAGAGCAGTATGTTGAGGCTGATACAGTGAGTGTTACAAGGCAACAGTGTTTCAGATAACACTGGGGACATGATTGTAAAAACACAGCTTCTTGAGCTTCTTGTTATGATTATGTCAGGACAACACAGACATTGTGTAAGCCACATGCTTTCCCATACTCATATTGAACACATACTTCAGGTCCATGCTAAATAGAAAATAATAGTAAGAAAAAAATATAAAAATACATTTATTTCAAACAGCTTTGCAATGTTATTTTGTTCACAGTAAGAAATGTAACTTAAACATGACACTGTTGTTATAATTGACAAAAGGGTACAATGTTCTAGATATATCATGCATAACTTTTAAGCAACTGCACAACTAGACCTTTAGACAAGATGTTTAATAATATGTTTAATGTGTCAAGTAAAATTTTAAATCACCATAAACATATATACATTACACACACACACCCCAAAATAGTATTTGTTCACAGGTAATTGGGGCATGCTGTTGTAGATAATTAAGTAGGCAAAGTGAGCATAAAGCTTTTTGTAGGGCTGAAGCAGATGAAAACACGAGACTCTTTGCTGACTTAATGCTATTTTCCTTTTGCTATATACAATGTATAAACAATCCTGACTTTAGTATGGCCAGACCTCTATCATCAGAAAAGTAGACTTTGAAAGCACCATTATTATCTGTCAAAACAAAACATCCACTTGTTTTTGTCCTCTAAGCATCCACAATAATGTGATTTGAACATTTTTACACATCTGAATAGTATTTACAACAAAAAGACATCTCTTACTATAAAGGTATAAATGGTATGCTCCAAAATTTCACATAACGTAGTATTCATTGTTTTGAGGCAAGACACAATTAACAGTTTACATCCTAGGTCAATATGTGCAATAGGGGGACATAAAGGAAACAGTAACAAGTCTTATAATGTGCAAAAAAAAAAAAAAAACCCAAAACATGTTTCCAATATTTTCTCAGGAAGGTTGAAACAAGGTATATTAGTTGACAGAATATCATGTACATATTTTTCTAATATATAAAACCATATATCATTTGTAGTTTTTTTTATGAAATTAACTCACTGGCTACAAAGAGTGAATTTGCCAATCAGGTGCAGCAGCTTAACTAATTTTAGCCTCTTGGTGTGGTAAAGACAACTTACTAAATTTTAAACCTAGAATCAGAAAGATAAAACTACTTCATGTCGCTTGTTGGTTCTAAGGTCTAATATTACAGAAAATGGTAATCTACTGAGCTCTTTTACTTAGATATTTGTCTCCGGTTAAGAGCATACTGGTGGCAGTTGTGTCGGGGAAGAAATCCCTTGTTAATTTCAAAGGAGAAATTATAAACTTCAAGATGACAGAAAAACAACAGTAACTGAATTGAACCACGTAATGAGTCTGGATTTTGTCTGCAATGTTTAGTCAGTACAGTAAAATGCAGTCAAGCCAATATGGATCAGAATATGAATATTTGTAGAATAGCTTTGAATTTATGCCATGAAGAATTTGGGCATTTCTGAAATATAAATGGAGTCCATCCAAGTACTAGACAGAATAGTCAACGTATTTTCATATATATTTTTTTTAATCTATCTTTTAATAATCAACATATTTGACATTAGTATTTTTTTTATGTTTTTAAAGAAGAACTATTCAGGTATGATGAACTCAATACATGTTATGAACAATTTGGACAATAATATCAATCTTCTCTAAAGCATTTATACTAGCCATTATGACAGTTTTAGGTACATCATGAGTTTATATCAGAAGTTGGACATATTCAGATCAAAGGATTTAAAACAACTGAGATACTGCAAACCGCGTACCAAATCCACATAGGTTTAAAATGAGTTTGAATAATTGCAGCTATCAGCATGACACAAGTAAAAAAAATATTCTGACAAAGCAAACTAAGTATTACAATCAAAACACAATACACCGTACTTACTCATCTCTTAGACATTAGTACAATTTGGAAATTCCCTTGTGACAATTCTTTCCATATTTCTTCCAAATCCTCCTGTGAATATAAAAAAATAAAAGATTAAATAAGCATGGGGGAAGTTCAGAGCCAGATGCCTGTTTTGACATCACAATTATTTTTCAAATTGCCCCAGTATCTCATATCTATTGGCCTGGGTATCTTTGTATATCTGTCCTGACAGATATACAAAGATACCCAGGCACAGATAATGATACCCTTTATTATAAATGACATTTTTTTTTCTGATAATTTAATATGAATATTGTTTGAGTTTTATAAAGGATACAGGAGTGCAATGGGAGTTGGTGAGATCCATTAGAGGGAAAATAACCAACCTTACTACCAAAAAATAGTGTTATCTGTTCAAAGCATTTCTGCCCTTAGAGTATTAACCAAGTATTATAAAAAGTCCTGGCTTCAAAAGATAGAACAGCATGAGACTGCAGCATGGAGTGTACCCCACAGTATGCACACGAGCCATGACAGACATTTCAAGAGAGAAATCAACATCCTGGGCAACCCAGATGGAAGTGTGAGAGTTGTCAGGTAAGCAAATACTCATGAAACATGACATAGAGTTTTTTTTTTTTTTTGCATGCAATCCACTTGAAGGCCCTGTTTAAAATGTAATCAAACCAAAGAATTTCTGTTATAAGCTAAGACGACCAAATCTATTTTTCTTTGTTGAATGGCACAATGATAGAATGTTTTATTACGTACTTCAAATTCAAAGTTTTACATTCACATATTACTAGGGATGTCATGAAAAAAATCAGTTCTGTTAAAAATTGAGGTATTCAGTTGACAATATTTGTATGAATTCAAAATACTAATATTACGATACTTCTCAAGAAGATATTGGTACTGATTCAAATTTCAGCTGAATAGATCTTAAATCTAAAAAATATATATAGGCAAACATCCATTTCTTTGTCTTATTTTTATATAACTCTAGAACACCAAGCCACTAGTTGACAATGAAATGCCCAAAGCTTTTCTATGATAGTCACAGGAGTACAGTGAGATGCATGAAGTTTTTCAGAGCTATATATTATAAAAATCATAATATATCATCTTTGATAATGTATTGGGATATATCAGGATCTACTGGGATAAAATGTTTTGTAAGGTATAATGCTTGATATGTATTGTATGATCAAATTCTTGCCAATTCAAACTTCAAAATCTTACTATACATTTAAAGGTATAGTTTATATAATTCAAAATCAACTTTTTGATCTTTTAACTGTGCTGCCAATTAGTAAATTCACAAAGCTTTAATATGATATTGTAAAGGAAATGAAAAATTTGTATCAGGGAACCCCTGTTTAAAGTCACACTGTTAAGCAGTTTGGCCAGCTGCCGTTGGTCCTCCAACTGATGCTCTGGCATTCTCCTATTGGCGCTTCTCTTGCTGCTGCTACTCTTGCTGCATCTCCTGCGGCTATTGCTACCAGGCTGTACTTTCTTTTGCCCCTTGTTCTTTATGGTGAATTATTGCCACTTATTGGGCTGATATATTGTGTTCAAATTGGCAATTAGAGGGACAATGATGCAAGCATCCTGTTCTTTAGTTTCCTTCACTATTATGTTATTCTAATACATTTTCTAAGCTACACATTTGTGTGACCATTTTTTTTCTACATTTTTTTTGCTGTTGTGAACATCAGAATTTCCCTATTGTGCAACTATAAAGGGATTTTCTATTCTATTCTATCCTATTCTATAAAAGGGGTAGGAAGGTATAAGTAAATCTAAACAAGATATATCTGCAAAATCTCTTATATTCAACAACATAAAATACTTACCTAAGCAAATGTTTTCAAAATAATAATTAAAAAATAAAAATCCTATTAGATTTAATGTCCCCACACTACAGATATATTAGAATTTGCCCTTAAATTACAGCCAAACCCATTCACACAGTCACAGATAAAAACCTGTTGATAAACCAAACATTACCTGCCACATATCTGACTCACTAACAATTAAAACAACTATTTTCATTCATTTCAGATGGAGCTATTCACATACTTGGAATATATTAAACTGCACTTCCAATATTCACTACAGTTTGGCGCCAAGTGCCTTTTTCCTCTGAGCACGGAGAAGCAGGCTTGCTTGGTCTCGCAATGAATCCTGGGATATCCAAGGCTACATAGCATACACCGGACTCATCCTTCAAATCGGCCGAAAACTAGGCCTCATAAAAGAGATATAGATCTGGACTTGATCTCCAGATATACGTACAGCCACCTGAAGCAAAAGTATATAATATATATGGGGATGCTGTTTGGGATGTGGTCTCCACATGGTGCAAATACATTAAAGCAAAAGCTTCAGAAGCAAAACCATCTGCTCACGAGAATCATTGTAGAATGTTCTATCTTATCTAAAAAATATATATACATTTTGGAGAACAATGGGAAAAATTAAAACAAGGCAAAATGGTGGACTTTGTGACACAATACATTGATATTGGTAAACAAGGTGCAGCGCTGAACATGGCACCTAATGACTTCCTTTCTGAATGATAACAGATACCAGGTTCAGTACCACACTTCACTTTGTTTGCTTGAATGTAAGAAATCATTTATGATACAGATCTTTTCAGCAGAATCTAAATGTACCTGTATGTTTCTGAAACGAAGGCTTCACTGGACATATAGTATACCTTGACTGCATCCAGTATTTTTCAATTATTTCTATGTATTATAATCATATATTTAAGGGATGAAACATGAGCTATTGAGTAGGACTGTAGTTCATTTATAGGTATGTGAACCATTTTTTTTTGAAAAAGTGAAGTATGAATGTGAGCTAGTTCAATTTCATCTATGTGCATTGAACTTTGAGCTCATTCTTTTTCATTATGAATTGGCTCAACATTGCACCAACATTGGAGGACTCCATAAAAGTACTTCAGCGGCTGGCTGAAGGAGGACACAAGGTTTCTAGAACAAAACCGCAGTATTGTCAACCGCAGGTGGGATACTTTGGTGCAAAGATTTCACAAGGCACAGTTCCATTTCGCCTTTTCTGATGGAAGGTGTGAATAAAGCCCTACTTATGGTAAATGAGATGATGACGGTTTCTGGCAATGACCGGTCTCAGTGCTGATTGAATAGATAGTTATGTGGAGAAAACAGCACCACTCAGAGGAAAGTGAAGGACACCAACCGCAATCTTCAAGCTCTCTAGTGTTGTCCAAGGGATCGGCTCCTTGTCCCCGAGAACCTGGTGAGCAAAGTATGTAACATTTTCTATAACTCTCGCCTTTATTGTCATCCAGGAATTGTCAAATCTCTTAAGTGGTCCAAGCATAGTTCTTGTGGGCTTCGTTGATGAAGGATGTTAAGGAGTTTGTCTCATCTTGCCCTCAGTGTTGTCAGGCTAAGCCATCTTGCCGCCGCCGCCCCCCCCCCCCCTCTGGACCGTTGATCCCACATCCCATTCCGTTACATCCTTGGTCCTACCTATCCATGGATTTTGTCACAAGGTTGCCTCCCGCTAATGGATTTACTTTGATTCTTATTATTATGGACAGGTTCTCCAAAATGGGCCATCTAATCCCCTTGAAAAATGTTCCCCTGGCTAAGGAGATGGGAGAGATCCTGGCCAGGGAGGTGTTTTGCCTACATGGGTTCCCCCAAATGACATTGTGTCAGATAGAGGTCCCCAGTTTGTCTCTCGCTTCTGGAAAGAGGTCTATTAAATGTTGGGCATCTCCATTAGCCTCTGGTTTTCACCCACAAACTGATGGTGAAACTGAGAGAGCTAACCAGGAAATGGAGACCAAGCTTCATCTCCTGTGCGAGTCTGACCTATCTCAATATGAATTAAACATGCAATTCATTCTCTTACCTGAAGTACTACTTGCCTCTCACCATTCTATGTTGTGTATGGCTTTCAGCCACCATTATTCAGCATCCAGGAGAGGGAAGCCATTGTCCCTTTTGCCAAAATTGCTGTCTTAAGGCACCAACGAGTCTGGAGAAGAGCTAGATTGGCCATTGTCAGAATGTTCATGGTACATTCCAGAACTGCCAACCCTCGTTATGTCCCTGCTTCTGTCAACAAGTTGGTCAAAAAGTTTAGCTATCCACCAAGGATCTCTGCCTCAGAGCTGAGTGTTGTAAGTTGGCACCTGATTTTGTTGGTCCTTTTCCAATTAGTAAGTTAATTAACCCAGTGGCCATCCGGTTACAGTTGCCTCACACAATGAGAATCCATCTCGCTTTCCATGTGACCTGGGTCAAGTCTTATGTTGAGTCTCACTTTCAATGTTGAAGGAGGGTTGCTGTTATGTTTCTGGCCTATCTACTGGTGTGTGCTTACTGTCCTCTTTCTCTCCTGCTGATTACTTATTTGGTCCTGTTGTAATGCTCCTGCTCAGTGTAATTAGCACTCATTCTCCCCACCTGCCTCCCCGCCTTCATAAGCAGGACTATGAGCAGCTGGCAGAGCCAGCTTGTCTGAAAAACCTGGATTGCTTTGTTCTGCCTTGCCCCTGATTGAGCTCACGCGTTGGCCTCTGTTTTCTGGACATCGAGCCTGCTTCTATTCATTGGATTCTGTACCATAAGCTGTAACGCCCCTGATTCTTTAGACCTTATGAGAAAGTTGTCACCATATTTATGGGTTATCCAGTTATGATCTTTCCACACTACAAGATTGCTGAATTGATAAATCATGGCAAATTTTTCATATCCAGACATAACCATTCAGATATGCAACACTTCCAATCCTGCAAACACGATTCCTATCAAATGTGAGGGAGTGTTTGGCAGAAACCAAAGTAGCAAACATTTATGCAGTCTCGGTTTATGCCCATGGTTTTTGTTATCTGTTTGCTACTGAGCGGAAACAAAGAGGTTTCAGGAGAGCATATGGTAGTCCAGTACCATATAAACAGCAACTAAAAGAACTGATCATTGCAATTATGTTTCCTTAACAACTGATAGCAATGAAATGCAAAGCACACATGAGGGCAGTGAACTTTCAGTTAATGGAAACAATGCAGCAGACATAGCAGA